AAGTGTTTTTACTCTGAGAGCATGTTGTTTGCACATTTGAATACACTCTAGTTCGTTGTGCCCCTAAGTGTTGTTTCATGCGTGCTGCTTTAGTAGCCTGTTTGTCTTCTTCAGTGCGCAGTTTGAGGAGAAGTGCTGTAAAATGAGGCGGGTTGTCTTTCTTTTGTTCGAGTTGCAGGTTTGAAATCAGCGAGCTGTCCCAACAGCCTCTGCAAAACTGCTTGAGCAGCTGCTGGTCGGCGTCACTGGAGGAAATTCCATTCCTCTGAATAACTAGGTTTAACAAGGTGTATAACCTCTGAAAGTAATCGGAAGGTTTTTCACCACTGTCCTGGTTTGTGTTTAAGAAGCGAGCAAAGAGCTCGTCGCCGTCTTCGACAGCTGCGTAAGCTGAATCGAGATGTTCAAGGTACGTTTCCGGGTCGGATTTTGGACTAAGAGCTTTAACGATGCTCGCTGCTGGGGCTGACAGACTCTCCACGATTCTTCGTACAATTTGGGACTTGGTGAGTGAAGGATCATTTATGCATAACACTACACTACTACGCCAAGTATCATAGTCAGTTTCAAAAGAAGGGTGTGGAACTCGCCCTGAGAACGGTTTTAGTCTGTATTGTGAAGTAGGCGGAGGGATAACCTCACTGCTTTTAACAATGTGTTCCACAATAACTCGCTGAACCTCAGGTGTGTTTAAAAGATTTGGTGGAATGCAAGGGTTTTGTTTTCCAGTCTCTGTAGGTGGACAATTGTCCTTTGAGTTGTTCATATAGTTAACTTCTGGTGTTAAAGGCAGGGAATATGTAACTTGGTCACTATGGAGCATTGGCTCTGGTTCAGTGACTGGTTCAGATGCATGGGTATCCCTTCCTAAAGATTCCCCAATTTTTGCCAGTTCCTCCATTAGAAGGTCTTTAAATGATTGATTGCTACGCGCAGCTATGTCCCTGAGCTCTGACAGATAGGCATCAGTGGCAGATGTGCTAGTTTCTAGACTGTACGCGCTGGCTAGGTCTTGAATATGGAAGAAAACATCTGGGTTCCTAGTACAAGGTTTGTCATAGGGTAAACATTGTTTCTTTAATTCCTTAACAGTGGCTTCATGTTGAAACTCCACAATAATCTGATCACAGTTTGGTAACTTAATGCGCCTGTTAACTGGTCCGAATCCTTCCATAAACCCAAAGACTTCGTTATCAAGGTCTGTATCAGTTAACCCACTGATTAAAACAGCATTTGAAACCTTGACCTTTTCTGTTTTTACAACTTCCATTTTAAAACACTCAAAAGTACCAATAATGCCAAAATGGCAAACCACTGTGACCTCCAGGCACTCTTATGATGTCAGTCAATGGTTAGCTAAGGTAACAACTCTACAATTCTCCTGGCTGGCTCGCCAAGTTTTATGTAACCGGATTACAGGATACAATAAGATAATTAAAAGAAAAAATAAACAAATGGGCCAATAATTAGGTTCGGGGAGAATTGGAGGTTGTTTAAGAATGACTGGAGTCACGGGTATAGCATGAAACGGTTTATATACTAAATTTTAATAATAATGGGAAATATAACACATAAAGATAACACACAAAAACAGATGAAAACAATCGACAATAGTAAAATGCTCGGTATGAGATTTGATCATATGAGTCACAAGTCAGCCGGCGTCAAGTCAAATCCCCACGCTTGGGGTGAAAGTCAGAGTCCGGTGGTGCGATTTTTTCCTACCACACCGTTGAGATTTTTCACAGAAGAGAGCAGTCTGCTCTTCAGTTACTTGAGATGTCCTGGTTCGTTCAGTGGTTAAGGCTCGCCATCTCCCTCGTCAGGAAGAAATCCAGTTCTCGTTCCAAGTGAGTGATCATAGGAGTCGGGATCAAACCCAAGGAAAAAAAAAAACCCAGCCTGTAAACAACAGGACTGTTAGCAAGTTGGCATCGACCCTTCTCGTCACATCACAGCATAAAGTCTTACAGACTTAAACAAATGCTTCACTCTATTGGCATAGCCAATCATGTTTGGGTTCACAGTTCAACTAACATAACATCAATTTGATTGTCTATTAAAATAATTCTCAGTAGCTCTGGAAATATAATTACATATGACAACAATTGTTCAGCTCAATAGGCTCAGTTAGATTCTATTACTCTACACTATTCGACAAGAAATACATTCATGACAACAAGGATACATTTAGTTGTGTTTCTATACAGCATTGTGACACCTTGTATATCTGTAACACAATAAATAAATAAATAAATAAATAAATAAATAAATAAATAAAATTTTCTATAACAAAATTAAACAAAATATAAATTCTGGTCCTTTGGTCCACCTTTGTAAAATAATTCCTCCCTAATCAGTTAGCTTTTATTTATTTTTATTTATCTATTTTTTTTTATTATTAAATGTTTGGTTAAGGGACGCATTGCTAATTCTATGGCGTTAGCTATAACGCCCCTGAGGACCTTGTACATCTAGGCCGTACCACCATTAACTGGCGGTTTGAGCCGTTAACTCCTGGGAATCCCATATGCCCTACCGCCGTTAACTGGCGGTTTGAGCCGTTAACTCCTATATGCCCTACCACCGTTAACTGGTAGTTTGAGATGTTAACTCCGGGGATCTAACGTCTAGCAGCCCACTGCTGTCACCTCGGTTGCTGTAATTAGCTTTTTGAATTTAATAATTTACTGAATTTAATCTCATTCACTCACCAACGCGCTCCAACGGTTCCCTCCTACAGAGGATTGGTTCACTCTGTCGTCTCCACACAAATCTATAAGAATGGAATTAATTTGATAAGCTATTTAAGTTTCCTTTTTTTTTTAAGTTGCATCGTTAGCTTTTTCTCTTCTTTTTTCTTTACTCACCGCGTTGGTTCCAAGTTCCTAGCTCTTATTAGAAGGAGTCAAGTCCGCCTCTCCCTCTATCTATGCGGCACCCAAATCAGGGTTCTTCACGGCCTCGACCGTTGTTTTTTTTTTCTCTCTCTCTCTCTCTCTAACCGCTCAGTCTTTGCTTTCTGTATCTGCGTGCTGCACAGCCGTTTGTCTCTCCTCTCGCTCAGCTGCGTCGCACGGTTTTATTTCGCGGAGGCGGGACTTATTTCTCTCAGCCAATGAAATTTCAGATTCCCACCTGGACCAATAGTATACAGCTTTCCTCTTCTGTTTCTGTTAGGGATGTTCAAGATTCTTGTTTTAACCGATGTTTAATATTAAACTCGTTATTTTAGTTATTCACCCTTCCAATAATTCATTATGAAATTATCTATTAGTTAATTAGATATCTATTAATTAGTATTGTTAATTTCCTTAATTTATATTTTATATTTTATCTAAATTGAGGATGGATCATATTAGTAAGCCAATTAGTTAATACCTCATTAAGGTTCTAGCTTCTGGGTTACATCATATAACCCTCCCACTGTCCTAATGGGTGTGACCCCGTGAGGAAAGTTGACCATTGAGCAGGGTTGATGGTTTATTTCTTGGGTCCATGTGGCACCACCTCACCCCTGCCACATGGACCTCAAGGGATAAACCATCAATCCTGCTCAATGGTCACCTTTCCTCGTGGGGTCACCCATAAAGACAATGGGAAGGTTAAAGAGCCATATTGTGGAAAATCCACTTTTTGGAACTTTTTACCATGTGATATTGTTATTTCCTCATGACAAAAAACAGTTATTACTTTTTGTTGCGTTCATGCATTTTCCTGTTTCAGCTGCAAATTAGAGTTTTACTTTCAAACTGAAACTGAAGCAAGCCATTTTATTTCCGGGTATAAAACATTACTCCTATTTTTTTTTAATTGTATCTCAATAGTGTCTATGGAAATATTTGATCATACACTGTGCCCTTTGCTCTCAAAAGTTTGAAATAGCATGATATGGAACCTTTAAAGTTATTGCACTATTTTAGAAATAACGTTTCCTTCATGTTTGATATCAAGCAAGCTTAAAACACATTTTGCTGCATCTTATTGCTAGTTAAAGACATGAAAGGCTGTTAGACATAATAAGAAACGTACTGCACTTAGACATCTTCAGACCAACATCCTCAACACTAATTAGTCTGCGTCTTATATCCACTTTGTCATTGAATCATTTAGCTTTACTTGCTTCTGATTATCTGCGTTTCTCCCACATGGAGCCTGTCCAAGCCTCTGCTCTCAGTTTGCCGTGATGATTTACGGACATTAACGGAGTGTTTAAGGCAGGGGTGCCCAATCCTGGTCCTGGAGAGCCGGTATCCAGCACGTTTTAGCTTTAACTCTGTTTCAACACACCTGATTTCAATCAGCAGGTGATTAACAGGCATCTGCTGTGCTTGATGAGCTGCTGCACAGGTGACTCAATCATTGAATCAAGTGTGTTGGTGCAGAAAAAACACTAAAACGTGCAGGATCCTGGCCCTCCAGGACCAGGATTGGGCCCCCCCGGTTTAAGGTGATATTTTAAACTCCAGTGAAAGGAAAATTCAGTGATCGGTAACATCTCCGGTTCGTTTTAATTCTGGTTCACCTCATTGCTGCCCCAGTCTTAGCCCCGCCCCCAAACAATGTAATCGGTTAAAATGTGGTATGGTGCTTGATCAATAGTGATCACAAATAGAGATCAACAATATAATGTATAGGCTATTTCTCGACAATAACTGTTCCAACATTAAAAAAAAACAATTTACCTTCTAATTAAATTTGTTTTATTTTGTCGAGTTAAACTGACCCCGCCAATTATATCTCTATTTAAATGCCCCCCATTGCCTTGTATCCCTCTTCACTTATGGAAAATGTCCAGGAGGTGGGGGCGACACAACATCTGCAGATCTCCCTACTTCTTTATTCTCCTTCCTCTCACGGGGAATCCTCCTGTTCCTGAACTCTTCCACATGTTTTATCTTTTAAAAAGTCCTTGTTTCATTTCCTCTTTCTTTTAAAGAGTCAGTAAATGAATCAGTGTGGTGTCTATCTAATGTGGACGGCGTCTGTCTTGCTTACAGGTGTGCAACAATAAGAAGAACTGTCACTGTGAAGCGCATTGGTCTCCTCCGTTCTGTGAGAAATCGGGTTTCGGCGGGAGCATCGACAGCGGGCCGATGAGGCTAGCAGGTAGTTTTGGGTGATTTTGTTTCTTTTCTTGCTCATCCAGGTGAAAACAACACATGGATGCAACTAGCAGCTGCTCCACAGTCTCTTCTGAATGGAAGAATTGAACAACAATCTGAGTTTTCAAACTTTTTTTTTTTACCTTTTAAGTAAAGAGAAATGCTCCACGTGATGCAGATAGTGATCCGGCCGTAACAGTGTCCTCTCGTTGTTCTGTGCTGTAGATGTGCGTGTGTGTGTATTAATGTGCGTGTTGTCGTATGTGGCATCAGCCGACAGCGTGCTCGTAGCAGTGGTGATCCTGGTCACGCTGGTCAGCCTCCTGGTGGCCGCCGTCATCGTCTTTCTGAAGAGGAAAACCCTGCTGCGCCTCCTCTTCAGCAATAAGAAGAGCACATTGGAGAAACTCAGGTAGTCCTCAGGAATTAAATAAAAAAAACTGCACAACTTTCCTGCAGTCAAGTAAAAAAAATACGGCCCTAACATTTCTTACAATCGAGTTATTTATATAATCTTTATTTCTATTATTCTAATAAAAAACAACATTGTGTTTTACTTGTAGATCTGTAGAGACCACCAGGCCAATCAGCCCCATCCGGACCGAGTCCAGGTACCGACCCACTCCTCTACGAAAGCCACCTCCCAAACCCTCTACGACTAATGTTTATAAGGTCAGTAACTTGTGTGTTTTTGTTTGTTATGTTTCCTACTAATTCTTTTGTTCCATTGCACCAACTTTTTGTCAGACTTCTTCATTAACCTGCAGCCAAACCCCAGCTCAGAGTCGTTGTGCTTTCAGGCTTTCTGATAAAATACGATCACAGCCAGGCGAGAAATTGATTCAGCTGCTCCGTCTCACCGAAGACGAAGTATTAATTACATCTCTGTTGTTGACAGGACACGGCACAACTGTAATTGAGAGGCTGTGCCATCTAGATGAGATGCAGGATGTTGTAATTTGAGCCCCTTTAATGCTGGTTTGTGATTTTTATTTTTTATTTTTTGTGTTGTTTTTGTCTCTGAGAAGGGATGCACAGTTGATTGATTCAGCCAGTGGAGGAAAATAGGTTTTGATTTGTTTGCTGAAAAGGCTAGGTGTAGAAGGAGATTGCCTATTGTTGTGTTTGTGCAGCGAAATAAAGGAGCGAATATTTATATGCATGAGTGTGTGTTGATCTAAAAGGAGTTTGCATTCACCTCTGTCTGCAGCAGCTGTGTGTAAAAAAAATCCAATCTGATGTCATAAATGAGTTTAGAAGTTTATCGACTTTATTTTTCATTCAATAGGGATTTTTGAAACAGCTGGGGCCTCATTTATCAAGCTTGCTTACGCACAAAACAGGGTCGGAAAACTGCGTAAGCAACTTTCCACGCAAACGTTGGGATTTATGAAAGAAAACTTAGCAGAAAAATGTGTGCAACTTTAAGTTGACTAAGGACCTTACTTATGCACATGTTGGACATGGAGAGCACCTGCTGTACTGCTGCTGAGAAGGATACATTTATGAAATCCTGCAGCATTATCACTTGTACTGCTTCGTTTTCACACAGAACAAGACCCCCCACATGCACACACGCGCACGTACACGCACATGCACGCACACTCACACACACACACACACAGCCTGAAGCGCAGAATTCGGACAGGGGGACAGATTGAGACAGAATGTCATGCGTCTGTGACAGTGTGTGTCCTGTCACTGTGACCCGATTGATCATGCGCCCTGGCACTTCTACAGGGAAGATCTTTGTTTGGCTGACTGGTTAGTGCGCGTGACTTCCACCCGGGAGTCTGGGGATCGAATCCCAATTGGGCCATTTTTTATATCCGCCACAGATCTCAGCAACGCTGTGCCACTCCGTGGATTTTCTCTTATTTGTTTTGCAAAAGTACTTCCTTTCATTTCTCCACCTCACCCACAAGTACCTCAATTTCTGCTTCTGTGAAATTGTGCTTCCTTGATCTGCCTTGATCTACGGTCGCCATCGTCATTGGCAGAGCACTGCAACAGCCGGCTTATGTATATGTATGAGATCCACAAGGCACTTTGCATTGAGTATTTATGGCAGTAAAGCCGGGTGTACACTGTGCGACTTTTTCACTTTTTGGAGCCGATTTTCCAGTCGTGCGAGAATCCACGACATCGGGGTGAGTTTTGCGCCGAGCGGTCGTGTAGTGTACAGGGGGTCACGAGAGGCGATTAACACCACGTGACTAGCTGCCGATCAGCAGTCGTGAGGTTGCATGGACTTCTGGCGTGTTTAAAATTTTGCTCGTCCCTCGTGAGGGTATTGCACTGTTGAAGCGGCGCTGCGAGCAGCTGCAACCCAAAAAGTATCAGAACCGCTCACCGCTAATTGATTGATTGATTGATTGATTGATTGATTGATTGATTGATTGATTGATTGATGAAGACTTCAGTCAAGGCTACTACCCACAATCCATTGATGGGGATTTTGAGAAGAAGGCGGAGCAATGGCTCAAATGTCTTTTCTAAAACAATGTATTTTTGAGTGTAATTAATAAAATATTGAGTATTTTATTATTGTACACTTATGATTACAGTCACATTTTTCTGTTGAAAAGATGCATCACATGTCTGTCTACAACTATTGTTTACTAATAACAGCGCTGCTGTGCACTTTTGGACAGGACATGCCAGTAATTTACTCACTTGTTTTAATACTATTCAGTAAAAAATTACAGTCAACAATAAAATGTTAAGATTAAAAATGAAAAAGAAGGTTGCTCTTCCAGTCAGGAAAAATAAAAAAAACATTTGGAATGTTTATGGAAAATCAAATCGTCAAAATTAGGACCAAATATTTATCATTTCCTCTTTTACCCAAAATGAAAGAAGTTGAATTAAAGATGATTATTGATGCTCTGAATTTTTGAGACTATGATTTAATGTGGACAGTAATGAATGCAAATTTTGTCAATTAATTGTTTGTTTGAAAGTTGTTAATAAAGATAAAAAAGTAACACAAACATCTGTTAGTATCCCTGTGCGCAATGCACACTGTCCCAGTTTGGCAATTATTGGCAGACTTGTGTACTATGCACTCGAAGCCTTACTGTGCACTACCTCCAAGTGCGCTTTGCTGAGAACCATAGGGCGAATATTGGGGCTGGACCTTGCTGCAGAGCAACAGCCACCTGAAACAGGATCATCTGAGCTTTTTTCCTTCAGAGTACAACCTACATGTCATTCATTCCTACTAGAGACCACTGCAAAGGTACTGATTAAACGAGTGAACCACATCTTTTACTTCATTTAGGCTTACTAGAGCTTAATTTGTGTTAGATTATCTGGGCATATTTTGACAAAGTTTCCTTTATTTCATCCTGTTTTAATTTAGCTCATTTTACTAAATTATATTTCAGCTTATCTCAGTTTAACTTTGCATACATTGGTTTAATTTCCATGTTTTATTGTTTCGTTTTACTTTTACTTTAGCTTGTTGGGGTTAGCTTCACATAAAAAAGTTGAATTTCATGAATTGTTTGATGCTTTTCTCTGCTCAAAATTCACAGATCAAACAAATAAATTAATGAGAGAAATAAAACTCTGCTCAGATTTTTATAAAGATCAGTGGGTTTTGTGAATGAAATAAAATGGGAAATTTGAAATTCCCACAGTTAAAAATAAGCAAAAATAGTTTCAGTAATACGAGTTTAAAACCTGCTGCAGCGTGGCTCGGACTTGGGTCAGAACCATCTGAGACATTTAATTACTCTAGTTTATTTCTCTCTATTTACTTTACTGAGCAAATTTAATGAATATTCATTCAATTTCCTGCGATGTACAGAGGCTCTAACTACTTAAATCAAACATTAACAATTTAACTGAAAAAATGTCTAGTTTAATTTAGTTTGGATGGTTTGGGTTAGGCGTATGACACAAAAACTCCTGAAAACGTTTCAACATGGTGAATTAAACAGGAAATTTAGCTTTTTACAGCAGCCCCTTGTTAGCTTAGCTTTTTGTTAATCTTGACTAAGTTTTCTTAGCTTATCTTAGCTTTTCTTGTCTTTGCTGATGTTGTTACATCTTAGTTTATCTCTTGTTCTTCTATGTGTGTTTCCTTGCTTGGTCTATTTTAGCTTATCTTGTCATAGTTTACTTTAGCTTAGCTTAAATTTAGCATGTATGTTTCCTGATCCTGCTACAAGCCTGACTCAGTGATGATTTTTACCTACCTGTTTTTAAAAACTCTGAGCTCCTTGGAAACTTTGCGGGTTTAACTGAGGTCATTGCCTTTAAGCAGAAAGAGATCCGGTTACAACCTGACTATAACAAAACCAGAGTCCGGAGTTTGACAGACTCGTCTGAGTCTGCTGATTCAGGTGGAGAGGTGTGAATGAACTTATTCGCTTAAGATAAGTTATCCGTTGCCTTGGATCTCCAAAATAGCTGCGTCATATGAAATGTAAAAAAGCAGATGCACTAAATCAAATCCTAGAGGATTACTTGAGGTGGACAGGATGAAAGGTGAGCATCGTCAGAAAGTGACGTGTGGAGACATTCTGACATCAGGAAAAGCTCAGGTGTGAAATTGATTTCATATCTGCGTTTCAGTTTCAGGATCCTGTCTGCTGGCTTGTTGTCACACAGCCACGGCTCAGGGCTGCCTAAGCAGTCACTGAGAATAACTTCCTCTCATCTTCTTCGCAGCCATCTCTACTGAGCGCAGAGCCGCTTCTCCCTCCTCACAACTTCCACTCACACAGCCTTCGGAGGCTGCCCCTCTACCAGCCCCTGCACATCAGCCACCCCATGCCAGCGTCTCTGAGCGTGGGTCAGCCCATTCTGCCTCCTCTGCCAGCCGATCACCGACTCCTTCCAGCCCACATGTCCCTCTCACCACCCCCAGTGCCTGCTTTCCTCAGTCTCCCACGCCAGCGGCCGCCATACCAAATGGAGCAGGTTAGTGGGAAAATGAACATTCATGGTCCTGGCATGTGAAACTTTTGGTTAAAGTTTTTAACAATTCTCGGAAGACTTTGCTTGTTTATTCGTTTAAATAAAGCTCAAATCCAAATCGGAAGCTTTTATTTGAAGATTTAGTTCACTCAAAAATCATATTTTAGTTATTATTATTGATAATGAAAATAGTCATGAAAATAGCCTCCTACACCTATCTCCTGCTTTAGCTTCTAATAGAAAATAGACGGTGAAACTCTAGGATTTGAAAATCCTGACAGATCTACGTTACACTCACTTAATACTCATGGACTCACCCATCTTGACTTGCAACGAGGAAGGCTGTTGCTGGTTTAGCGTCCACGAAACAGCAGAGAACGTCTGCTAGTAGAAGCTAACTGTTAGCATTAGCAACTCCACCACACAGCAAAACTCCTTCAGGCTTGTGTTATCTGTGGAGATTAAGCATCAACTTTGCAAAGCAAACAGAGTCAGTGATAGAATCAATTTCTCGTTAGCCAATCAGTGGTGAGATTTCCAAATATCAGGAAAAAAGACCCCAAATTCTGGCATATGAATTTCTGCTCTGATCTGGTAATCTTCTAGATCCTGAAACAGGTCCACCAGGGCTTTTTGTAGCCAGAGTACAACTTTCTGGAGACCACTGCATGTGTATTGATTAAATGAGTGAACCGCACCTTTAATCTAATCCAATCTAGACTTATTTATAGAGCCCTTTATGCACAATAGAATTGACCAAAGTGCTGAACACTAAGAGCAATAAACGTTAAAAGCAGGAAAAAAATACTCTTGAGCTAAAAATAGCTAAAAAGTGAATACAATTCACAGCGAAAACAATAAACAATAAAATCATGCAAAAATACATCTGAGATAGGACACACGTGTAAACATGAATGCACCAAAAGCACAATTGTCACGAGTGTACCTCAGGAATCACGCGAAACCAAAAGCCAACAAGAAAGAGTGGGTCTTAAGAAGTGTCTATAATCCTGCATGTGGAGTGGCCTGTCTAATGCAGGGATATGGCTGGTTTCAAAGCTTAGGCACAGCCACAGCAAAGCCTGATCACCTCTATAAACGTGACTTTACTGCAGCATTTATTTGCTTGTCAAATCTGAGCGCAGAGTCAACCTTCATTCCCAAATTTGTGACAGTAGCTCTAGCAAAAGAGACAATTAGACCAAAGTAGGACCGGGCAAGAAATCGAAAATTTATTAAATTTCTGACCTTTATTGAGAGAATTTTTCCCATGTCAGTACATTTGATAATAAAAAAATGAAAGGATGTGTGTAGGTTGGCAACATTCATGCCCCTTTAAAAAGCTGTACACATGACAGCCCCATCTAGTGGACAACTTGTGTTTCTGCGCAGCTATCATCCATTTATAGTTATCGAGGTGAAATCCTCAATATATCATGATATTGATTTTAGGCCAGCCCCAGTCCAAAGGTACAGACAACACCCCTGATGAACCACTAGGTTCAAACAAGATGATGAGACCTTTAACTAAACCTTTATCTGAATTAAATCAATAGGTTTTTATTAAAACATTTTCAGATCACATTTATTGACCTAAAACCTGTGCAGCAGTTTGCTACAGCTGGTATCAACAGCTAAATTCAATTAGCCTCCCGCTCTGTGACCCTGCTTCTGAGTCAGGGACTGCTTTCTGCTGAGCCGGTGGGTTCTGAACTGTAAATCCATCTGTCTGCTCAGGTGGGATATCCAAGTCTTTACCCAGAACTGCACCAGCTGAATGTCTGCGCTTTGGGTACTTTAGGAAAAATGTCATAAAAGGAAGTCATGAACTTTGTGACATGTTTCTACTTCTCTAATAAGGATGGGGGTAAAAAAAACATGAATGATAAATTGATACAAAGTGCTAACATGTTTCATCACTGTCTCTTAACACTCAGAGCATTTGGGAACCGAGGAGATCAGCTGATCTGGTGCTAAAAATAGAATAAAGTTGCTTTTATTTCTTAACAGACCAATATTCTTCTAAAGGTGTAGTCTTGGGACTGTGAGCTGGAATAATTTAACATAAACTCCTAAACGGTGGAAAAAGTGCAGACTTTTGTTTGGCAGTGTTACTTGAAATAAGCCTAAAATGTTTAGAACTGCCTCCAAGTTTCTGGGAATTCATGCAATTCATTAAAAATGGTTAGGCTTAGAATAAACCATGCCATAAATAATTATCCCACAATTATCTCAAATGACCCATTAGAAGAAAACTTAAGTGAGTCACATTTCTTATTTTTCTATTTATTTCACCTTTAAGATTAAAAATCTAATTTAAGTGTTGTGGTTGAGACAGGAAGCAGCTCAATCGGCAACAACAATGCATGTCATGTGAACACCTACTTGCGTGTGAGGTGGCAGACATGTGTTACCCCACACATTACCTTAGTCCTGCAACAAAAAGTCTTCCATCATCATCACAGTTCCTGAATATTTGTATGTAGACACAAACTTCACCTCTGCACCCTGAAAAGTGGTGACTGGTGGAAGATCGGATATGTTTAGCGCCTGATGAGGTGCACATGCAGCCGTGTACATAACGGTGTCGGCATTAAAGGGGAACGAGGCAGTTATGGCCTGCTTCTAGCACCCCCTATTGTATGTTTGTTGAACCGAAAGCAAAACCTTTGTTTGCCTTTTTAACACCTTAATCTAACAGCTGAAATGTCCCACGGATACTATATCGACATCTAGTGTTTAGAGGTGGTAGTGCAAAAACAACACATTTTCCAGCCGTCGAGGTGTTGGTTCTCTGCTGATACGTGAAGTGTCCAGCCAGCACCATCTAAAGTGACGAATCGTACAGGATAAGGACTCATTTCTACTAATAAGTTTATTTTACAGCGGTATTCACCGTTAGAACATCTTCTGGGCTCAGAATCAGCTGCCTGACTTAACGAGTCCCAGCCTCGCATTGCCAAGTGGACTTTTTAGTGCAACAGTGCCCCCTATTGGCTGGTAGATGTCAACATAAACCCAGTGCCGTGCCCATCAAAATAAAATTTTGATTATTTATTTTTTTAAATATAGCATTACGTGACTGTAATGGTGGCAGGATACCTCAGAATGGCGCTACGTCTCTGTTGTCTTGGCGGGAAATTGTTTTGCAACAATCCCCAGCTGACGGAGAAGTCCAAAAGCAAAACGCCTCTGTCAATGCTTGTGCGTCTCTCCCCGTGGAGCTGACGGAGAAGTATAAATTAGGCTTTAGTGAGCAAAGGAATGATTCATCACTCAATTAAACAAATCAGCTGTGTTCATGATCTAACACAGAGGTACTCAAATTAAATGGTCCGAGGGCCATTTTAAAAATAGACCTTGAAGTTTGATGTCTGGTCCGGGGGGGGGATGTCCCCCCCACTTTTTCCAAAGTCAAGTTTTGACCCCTGCACTTTTTACCATCCAAAAGCAATATTACGCCATATTAAATTGACACCGGTTGAGCTCCAGGACCAAGCAGAAAACTACTGTTTGTGTTGAAGCCTGTTTCCCATTAGAACATACTGTAAAGATACCCCCCCCCCGTGTCCCCCCACCCCTAAAGTGAAAATTATGTCCATGTCCGGGGGACACACCAATACAATCATACACACCGGGGGAAGCTGGCGGTTCAGGGACCACGAAGAAGGGCCCCGCAGGTCAACTATAGAGTACCGCTGACCTAAAACACGCACGAAACATACCGAGAGCAGACCGCAGCACCAGGTATGTCAGCTCTATTTCACAACAGAGCGGCCCACCAGTCTAAAGTTGCAAGTGTGATATTCTGGCCACAGAGGGCGATAGAGGCTGGGTGGCCTTTCATTAACCCTGTAAAGGGTCCCTTTAGCACACACTGGAAAGAAGAAAATGATTTGCAAATATGAAAAATTAGCAAAGTATCCCTTTAAAAGCTAAATTTAGTAATCCTACAACCACAGACCCTCGTTATAAAACAATATTTTATTAAATAATTTAAAATGCCAGCCAGAGCTTAGAGATTCTATTAGTAGTTTCAGTTTGGACTTTCATTTTTATTCTCACTCTTTTGTAGAATTAAAATTCATTATCAACGTGTAGCACTGCAGGAGTTATAAAAATGCTGCTACCTGCTAACATCTAGTAGTATCTGCAATCAGACTGATTTGAGACAACGTTTGTAGGTCAAAGAGGCAAGAGGGGATTCTGCCGGTATTTAACAGCAGGCCAGCAAAGAGAGCAGACAGAGTTGTTATACTTGAGCCAAATTGTCTTGTTTTAAATGTGTTTGAACTTGCTGCACCCTATTGACATCAGGGCGTTTCCAAGGGAACAAAGTCGTCCTTACAATGGTGGTGGTGATGGAGGGAGGACTGCGAGGGAATGAGTAGAAATTTAGATACTTTTTTTTTGTTGCTTTCTCATTTAATTCAAAAGAAGAAACTGATTTCAGACGTCTGTTAACCGTCAGGTGGATGGTAGAGGAAAGTTGGATCAAAGGGACAGAGACCCAGGGATGGCTGGTGGTGTTAGGGCAGACCAAAAGAGCAATAGTAAAACTCAGCTTTACAACATTCAGTCTCTTTTATGCACATTTTTTTGTGATTGGCAAAAAGAGACGTTTTCTGCCAAAAATTCAGTAATCATGAAAAATGTGGATGCATCTGTTCACCTACTGCTTTGTATCTCCTTAAACATTCAAATACATATAAAATCCCCATTTGCTTCAGACAATATTCTCACAAATTTGTCAAGTTGGCTAACAAGAAGGCCCAGCTGTTTACCTTTTGTTGCCCCCACACGCTCCTTTCTGTGGTGTAGATTTAGAGGGGGGAAAAACAAAGCTCCTGCATCACTAAAGGAGCTCAGACTGATTAAAAATTCACAAGTTTGGGAGTGTTTTATCCTTGTAACTGATTGGGAGCAGCTTTTATCAGAAAGCTGCAGAGAGAAGCCCATTTTCAGTTAGTGGGAAGGATTTTTCTCACTTATGAGGCTTCTCTCCCGTAGCTTCCAACTTACGTAAAATGTTTCTTTGCTGTTATGTTATAAATTTTTATCAAACAAAAGGCAATTAGCTGCTTTCAGTTTTCCTCTAACCTGCAAAAAGCTCTGTGGCCAAAGCACGGGGGAGAGAAGGTCTCCTGCCTGCAGGGATCTCCACCCACTCCGACAAGGTCTGAGTCACAGGCAGCGTTTCTGACACATCGCAGAAGTGTGGGTGGGTGGGGTTGGGGTGAGGTTCTCTCCACATAAATGCCTTCATGTAAGCCACATTTTTATTTCTATGTTCGTGTGTTTTCAGAAAATGCTGTGTGTGTGTGTGTGTGTGTGTGTGTGTGTGTGTGTGTGTGTGTGTGTGTGTGTGTGTGTGTGTGTGTGTGTGTGTGTGTGTGTGTGTGTGTGTGTGTGTGTGTGTAACGTGGAGCTTGTAGCGAGTGTTTATCATCTTCCTGCCTCCATGTGTAGATTTGCAAGACACATCCAGATAACCTGCACTCACACAGCTCTACTGTGGAGATGATGGAGAAAGGAAGGTGGAGGTTTAGAGCTTATCTTCTGTTTGCTGTGCGGCAAAAATAAAATAAGGCACTGATAACACACTGCCCTCTAGTGAAATGGGCTTTTTTGTCCAGATACCTGTAACACGGTTGAAAATTATCATTGAAAGCAAATTATTTTGTTTCATTCTGCAGGACATTGAGAAGCCCAGTCCACCACAGAAACCACTACCTGCAGATCCATTAGGAAGGAGTTGTCGGCTGGGTCATGGCGCCACAGCATCGGGGGTCCACATCTCCGGGACTGGAGCCCTGCCAGTACCTATCCCCAAAGTGCCCAGGCCTCCCCCTAGCATCCCTTTACCCAGCAGGTAAATGTGTGTCTCAAAGGCAAAATTCAGTTTGATTGTTTTTAATAATCATGTTTTGAATCTGATCCCAGAAGCTTTTATTTTTTTAAGTTGACACAACTAGCAGCAGCTCATAGGTGGGAGACTTTCAGAATAAAAGCTGTCCTAAAAAAATCCCACCCTGTGATTTGACTGCAACTAAAGTTGGAGTGATATGCATGAATATTACAATGAAATAATCACGAAACTGACTAATGTCTCAATCATGTTGAAAGAAGGTTACATTGAAACAGATTTCCTTCTCCGCTGGCTGGGGGGGGGGGGGGGGGGGGTCGTCTAGGGATGTGAATATCTTAGAGCAACTCACGACTCGATTCCGATTCTTGGGGTGCCGATTCGATTCAGAATCGATTCTTGATTCTCAATTTAAATCGATTCACACTCAGTATTAACAAAGAGTGTCAGCTCCAGGATGAACTACTTTGTTGTACAAGTTAGTTAAAGCAATGGGACATTTTTATTTGACTTTAAACTGGTCATGCTCCAAAAATGCTAATTTACAATGTAAAATAAAGTGATTCTAAAACTGTAAACAGAAGCAATCTTTTGACCAAAAGGCAACATTTATTTTTGCTTACCTTGTAAAATATAACAAATCTGTAGTTACCTAACAGTAGCTTTGAAAGTAATGTGGTCAAATACTTTTCAAGCATGTGTAGAAACAAGTTACATGAGTAATCCTGAGTACTCATCTATCGACTTAGAAAATAAATATGAGAATATCTCAAATTTCTGAGTATGGAAAAAATTACATTCAAGTGCCCACTTATCAGCAGATTCAAACATAAATCATCTCAATTTATGGGACCACAAAAGTAAACGGAGTACTGACTTTCCTAACAAAGATCAACAAAGTGCATCTCAAACGTGTAACATGCCAAATATTTGAGTTCTTGGAATCGATTCTGAACCTTCGTGAATCGATTCTGAATCTTTGTGAATAAGAATCCCGATTCAGACTTGAATCGATTCTTTTCAGCACCTCTAGTGTCGTCAGTCAAAAAAAATAAAAAGACATAGTTACTATTTGCAATCAGTGAGTCTGTGCCAAATTAATGCTGCAGCGCCAACACTTGTTATTTGACATCGACTGGCAAAACGCTCAAGAGTTTAGAACCTAAGCCAGTAAACAGAAGTTATTTCTTCTACCCCTAAGAAGCCACGGCATCTTTTTGTTGTACTCTTAATATTGAGTTGAGCTAACAATGTTAACAACAGACATCATACACGTAAACACCCCATGGACTGGCGCTGCCTATTGGAGCTGTCATAACGCCATCTTGGATGGTTCTCTATTCCCCCCTTAGACGGCTTGTCTTTGCTTGTCATCTGGAATCTTTTGATGCTGATCTGTAGCTGGCAACAGCCATGAAACTCATGGAACAGGTTTAAGCGAGTCACTTTTTGTTTATAAAAAATGGATTGCAGTACCCACATTTGAACACAGACTGTCATTCTTACATATTGCACCCTTAAGTTTCAAAGCAGGAGAGTGAACTGCTTCTTAAATGATGAATTTCGTTTGGTTTCAGACAGGTGCCGGTGTTGCCCTACAGACCACCAAAGACCCAGAAGGACTGCTGAGTTCTCCTTCCTGAACAGGATGAGTGGATCTCAATGAAACAAAAAAACAGTTCTTGTTTTGCACTAAGTCCCGCGACTCTGACAGCGGAGTTTCTAATGAAAAGGGGACACATCACACCATGGTGCTACCTTGTCCTCGCTCAGGTACCTACGAACTATTTATTAAATTATTGAACATGTGCAGAGACCTGGACGGATTTGACACGCGGACACTTTTGTTTAGATAGCATTTTAAACATTTCTTTCACATTGTTTTTTTGTTTTTGTTTTTTTTTTTTTGTTATTTTTGTACTTTTTTTCTCTAACGAAGTCTAGGATTTTCCAATAACTGATGTTGCTTGAATACAAAAAAAGTAAAAAGGTTGGACTTGAATGAAGACAAAGGGAGACGTGTAACTTTGTTTTTATTTATAGATCTAAAATGATTTATAAGATATTTTAGTAAAGTGGCTCTGAATAACCCCTAAAAGTTGACTTCCTGGTTTGCATCAGACTGGCGCTGACGCACCGATCGGACCATGTGCTCCACATGTTCTCCTTGATGCTGCGAAGCGTCAACAGATCTGACAGATTGTGTTCAGATGCCAAATGGTTCAATATTAACTTTGGTGTTTGTATGTTTATCATCCATTTGTCCTTGACTGTGGGAGCCAACGAGCCGGATGACCTCAGCTCCATCGGCTCCCGGACTAAAATGTTCTTTTTTTATTTTTTCCCAGCATTCCTTTTAGATTACTCAGTATGCTTTTCCATGCAGCCTTGTTGGTTTGATTCAAAGCTTTGAGAAAAATTTCTTGATGCTAAACTGGATCCAAAATGGCAGAATGTAAAACCCTGCGTTGTGTTTGTGTAAAACAATGTCTCAGTGATGCTTCTCCGAATAAGAAAGTGTTCTGATTTGTCCGTCTAACGGCTCTCCTTAGGAAACAACCTGTTAAATCTGTGTGGATTGTCTATCAAATGTCTGTAAATCCTCTACAGTGACGTTTGTAGAACATGCTTTAAGTGTAAATAATGTGTCATTATATTTATCCTTCTTTGATTTTTTTCGTTGTTTTTTTATTTTACAAGCCCAGAAATGACAGAGCTGTTTTGAGGCTGACGGGATTTGAAACATGGAAGTCGGACTTGAATTCAGAGCCAAATAAAAGTTTCTTTATGGTGGTTTGAAACTGATTTTGTTTTCATTTCATTTTGCTCACATTGCTTTTGCTGCTACTTTCAGAGTAATTAAATCTGCAACTCTCAAAGGAAAAATAAATAAATAAAGCAGCTGATTTTCACACGATCACCACTGCCACCTGGTGGAGACAAAAGGTCATTACTTCAATAACATTTTCCGGGTATTTATTTTGTTTCTGTCACAGTGGTACACCACAGAGGCAGGTTCAGCATAAAAACAACAGCTATTTTTTTTTTAATTTATTTGCATGTGTGTTATTTATTTTCCACACTAACGGTAATAAGCAACCAAGAATAAGGACAAATCAAATCTGTTTAGTGTAAATACATCTTGATTCATAGGTTTCTGTACCACAGATTGATTGATGATGTAAAATTCAGTTTGTTGTGTGTTTGTTTACATGTAAACAATCATGCATGCTTTAGTATCCCGGCACCCCCACCTAGTGTTCAGCATAAGAAAACGCATTTTTATTTCCTTTGGCTCATGTTCATCTGTAATATAAATGAATGTCATGATTAAATACAGCAATAGAAGCTGTAAAAAATACACTTAAACTAACATTTGCTGAACGTCATTTGAAAAAAATTTCTTTGCTTTTTTGATATCATTATTTTTATTTTGTTAGTTATGAATTTACCAAATTTACTATAGATTTTTTTAAGTTGAACTAATTTCTTTTAGTTCTTCAAGAATTTTTAACATAAATGTGATGAAATGTGATTTAATTTCAGCATAGACCATCATGTAGTTTTCATTGCAAACACCAGAGCCTGTGTGTGTGTGTGTGTGTGTGTGTGTGTGTGTGTGTGTGTGTGTGTGTGTGCGTGTGCGTGCGTGCGTGCGTGTGTGTGTGTGTGTGTGTGTGTGTGTGACTTCACCCTGGGATTATTGGCCACATGACAACACTGGGCCGGGCTCCCAGACAGCCTTTCACTCTGCTCCACTCACTGAGGCAGTCTCTGTTCTGCATGGCGGGTTTACCGAGAGCTGGAGATCTCCAAACTTTTAATCTGTCTGGATTTGTAAATAAAGTGGAGAGCAAAACACCTGTGATGGCGCAGGACGATACAAGTTTAACTGGAGGCAGCTGTTTTGAGGAGCAATCGCCCTGTTGCTCAGACTCGGAGGCTCTGAGTCAAGGCGACAGAGATTATGATGACATCCTGGAGCTCAATCAGTTTGATGGACTTCCCTACTCCTCTAGGTTTTATAAACTGCTAAAAGAGAGGAAGGAGCTGCCAGTGTGGAGCGCAAAGCGTGAATTTATGGACACTCTGGCCAAAGGACAGTTTGTGGTTGTCAGTGGCTTTGCCAAAAGTGGAAGGAGTTCTCAAGTAAGTACTCTGGGGTATGTCTAGGATTTTGGATGATACTTACATGAATATTTTTTAGGATTTTATTAATACACGAACAGATTTCCAACTCATACTCATCCCCAAATCTGTCCACTTTTATTCTGAAACAGATTCCTCAGTGGTGTGCTGAATTCTGCCTGTCAGTCCAGTTCCAGCACGGCATGGTGGTTTGTACTCAGATTCATTCGCAACAGGCCGTAGATCTGGCTCTCAGAGTGGCCGATGAGATGGACGTGAACATCGGCCATGAGGTTGGATACACAATCCCTCTGGAGACCTCCTGCACCAATGAGACCGTCCTCAGGTGGTAAAACATAACTCAGCCTTCCACTTTCATGAGCAGATGAGCATTTCTCTGACTCTCTTTCACCTCATGCAACAATGCACACACGGCAAAACCACCCCCACCTTTAATCCCTAAAAGAGCGGGTAACAAAAGGCCAGAGGGGCTCTTTTCAGAAGCTCCACCACAGCTGCCTGGCTCCCTGTTGACCCATATGTCGAGCTCGCCATGCGGGTCCCTCATAAGTTAGCTGGGGAACAAAGAAACTCAGGGGAGAGAGATGAGAGAGAGAAGCACAAAGTAGAGAAGTAGTTGCCATAAAATCTAATGAAATTCCATGAATAAAGCTTAAATGCTGACAATGCCAGTAGAATCCACCCTTTCAGTGCACAAGCTCAAAGAAACCTGGAAATGGTTTTCAAATTCATCTGAATAGCAGGTGTCATGTTATCCATTCCAGGTACTGCACGGATGACATGCTTCTGAGGGAGATGATGTCAGACCCTTTGCTTGAGCGCTACGGCGTGGTGGTCGTGGACCAGGCCCACCAGAGGACTGTAGCCACTGATGTGCTCCTGGGCCTGCTGAAGGACATCGCCATGCAGAGGCCAGATCTCCACGTGGTCCTCCTTTCAGCCGTTGCCCCAGGCCCCAAGCAGCTAGCACTCTTCACCGGATCAGCACTGCCAGTGATCCACCTGGAGACTCCAGACGTCGGTGAGGTGGTGTACAGCAGTACAGGGGACAACTACTTCTGCGCCGCCCTCCGTCTGGTGCTGGAGATCCACCAATCAGAAGAGCTGGGGGATGTGATTGTGTTCCTGGTGACGACGCAGGTACAAAACCAGCTCAAGAAAATTCTGGAAAAAGCAAATTCTTGCGTCTGACTGTCCTCTTTCTACCAGGAAATAGATCTAGCCCATGACATCCTGTGTCATGAGGGGCGCAGCCCACCAGGTCAGGGGGAGCTGCTCCCAATTTCTGTGCACCCTGGCCAGACGGGGAGCCTACAGATCCTGGGGGAGGAGGAGACGACGCGGACACGGCGAGTGTTCCTCACATGCAGCCCAAACGAGGACTCTTTCTGGGCCATTAGCTCGATAAACTTTGTTATTGATACCGGGCTTGAGAGAAGACATGTAAGCTTGTCCTTTCAGCCTTGCACAAGTTAACTTTGATGAAAATTGATCGGATTGAGCACACATATAAGCAATCAGAGGGAACTGACTGTAAATATTTTGCAGATTTTCAACCCCAGAATAAGAACAAACTCAGTCATCATTCAGCCAATCAGCACGGGTCGAAGCGAGTGCCGCAGACAGCTGGCGGGTCCAACAGGTGAAGAAGTTCAAACTGTTAACAAAACACTTCTGAATGTATGGCTGCTGTCCTGTCTTTAAAACATGTCTTCTGTCCTGTAGGCAGGTGTTTCTGTCTCTACCCAAAAGAGAGACAGCTTCCCGCAGAGGTCCGTCCTCGAATCATGGAGTCTGACATCATCTCCACTGTCCTCTTCCTGAAGAGGATGGAGATCGCTGGACTGGGTCACTGCGACTTCATCGACAGACCAGGTGAGATCTTGTGGGGTTTGCAGCATGTAAGATGGGATGACATGAATTGTAGGTTCAGTCAGTTTGTTCCCTTTTGGTCCAGCAGACAGGAACTTTTGTTATGTTGTTGGAAGGCAGTGAGCCATGCTTCAGCAGAACCGACAGCTCCTGTCCTGTGAGCAGTCTTTCAGAGCTGACCTCCTTCCATGCGCTTTTGTTCCTGTGGATTTACACACCCTGTTACACACACGCTCACACACACACACACACGCACACACACACACACACACACACACACACACACACACACACACACACACACACACACACACACACACACTGAGCCTCCCATTAGTTGATTGGAGCCCAGTAGTTTGTGCAAGAGTGAAACGATAACAGCCAGCATCTTTTCCCTCCCGCTGTGTCTTTGTGTCTGTGTGCATCTTTTCCAGAAAAATAGTCTGTGATGCATTTTTGTTATAAGAAACAGAAAACAAAAATCTAATTTGTTGCATGAAAGAGGTTTCATTATGTTTAGTGGTATTAGGCAGATGTTGGTGAAGCTTACAGATCCCTAATCTGCTGCTGTCATCCATCCGAGCATTACCAGGTTGATATCTAGGACCGCTGAAACAGGTCGCCACTGCTTTAGATAGTTGGTGTGTATTTGAGTAGAATTAATAATCTCCCAGATTAAGTATCATTAAACACTGCTATAAAGTTGAGTGAGTGCTGATCTCTGGATTTTGATTCAAACTAAAAACCTGTCTTACCCAGATCCTGGAGGTTTGATGCAGGCTTTGGAGGAGCTGGACTATCTTGCAGCTCTGGATAATGACGGCAACCTGTCCGAGATGGGCATCATTATGTCTGAGTTCCCCTTGGAGCCCCAGATGGCCAAGGCGGTTCTGGCCTCCTGTGAGTTTGATTGTGTCAGTGAGGTGGTCATCATTGCTGCGATGCTAACAGGTAGCATGTCCGTAGAAATCTGCAGAACATGTCAGCATGTATCAGCAAAGAAGCTGATTCTAAGCATGAAGTATATTTTGTGGGTCTCTACTAGCACCATCTTGCTTCGGGGCCCCTCCTGTGGATCTCAAGCCTGAGGCGATCCAGAGCTATGTGAAGTTCCAGCATCCAGAGGGAGATCATTTCACTCTCATAAATATCTACAAGGCCTTCAAACAGCTCCAACAGGACCCATGTGAGTTTAGGAAAGAAGTTACAGCCGTTTTAAAGCTACGACAATGACCGAGAGGGCGGTACAGGAAAAATAAAATGGCATCATGGCTTTTTACAGTTAAATCACAGCTTTGTTAGGATTTAACTTAATTTTTTAGATTAAATGTAAAGCATATATGTGGCATGACCACAGTTAAACAGTAAATCACCAGCTCACCAATTTTTATTTATTTATTTATTTAGAGCAAGAAGTGTACCATGTACAAGACAATCCCAAATGAAAATGTCCAACTCAGTATCTGTAGTTAAGTTCAAATCTGATGTGAAATAGGCTACACGGTAAGAAAATCACTCAAATATTGATGCTCGAAGTGGAGTGAGGGGAAGAAAAACGTATTAAACCTCACCCCGATCTCACCGATATTTTTAGATAATGAACGCTTAACACAACCATCAATAAGTAAGTAAATTTCATTCATATAGCACTTATTACAGACATAGAATCACAAAGTGCTTCACATGGATCAAAACAAAATAAAGTCATAAAATCATAATAGTCTCTGAACAGAAATAGATTAACATCAGAGTGAAAGCATATTAACCTCAGAAAAAATAGTCATAAAATTATAAAATTTCATAAATAGATGAATGATTACTAATTTGAGTTAAAAATAAGAAAATAAAAGATTTAGGTAAAAAGCAGCTTTAAATAAAAGGGTCTTTAGCTGTTTTTTTAAAGTGTCCAGACTGTCAATACTACATAAGGATAAAGGAAGATCAGGTAGGAAGTGATCAGGCTTAGTGTGTGTCACATCTAAAACGGTCTGGGCTCTTATATCCTACACGTTCTAGACCAGAGGTTCTCAGATCTGGTCCTGGAGGGCCAGTGTCCAGAACGTTTTAGCTTTAACTCTGTTTCAACACACCTGATTTCAGTCAGCAAGTGATTAACAGGCTTCTGCAGTGCTTGATGAGCTGCTGCACAGGTGATTCAGCCACTGAATCAAGTGTGTTAGAGCAGAGAAACCACTAAAACGTGCAGGATACCAGCCCCCCAGGACTGGAATTGAGAACCAGTGATCTAGACTACCAGTTTTTGTTAATTACATCAAAATATTCTGAAACATTTATGGGAAAGTTAGAATATTAAGACCTATTGTTCTTTACCCCACATTGCAGCACTTTGGCTGGTGGCAGGAAAGTGTTTGATTGATTAATTGATTGATTGATTGATTGATTGATTGATTGATTGATTGATTGATTGATTGATTGATTGATTGATTGATTGATTGATTGATACCATCCTTACATATTACCATGTTATTCAGTAAAGAACGATGTCAGATCACATTATTATTTGCTCACCTCTGATTGTGTCCATCTGTCAGACTGTAATGAGGAGAGGTGGTGTCAGGATTTGTTCCTGAACCACGCCGCTCTGCTGGTGGCTGACGCCCTTCACTCTGAGCTCACAGACACTCTGAAGAGAATTGAGCTGCCCATCTCAGCGCCTGCGTTCGGCTCCCGAACAAACACCATTAACATCAAGAGAGCCCTCCTCGCAGGTTTCTTTATGCAGGTCAGAAGCTTTATTGGTTGAATTCTTCCAGAAGCTTGAAGTTTATTTGAATCATTTACTATCAGAGATTTGTCTTTAGATGTGATTTATTTCTTGTGTGGTCAGCGCTGCATTTTAGGGTTTTTTTTTAGCTGATATTGGACAATGTTTGAATCTCTGGCTTCAAGGGAAAATAAAGTGTTTTCACTGCTTGCAGCACCTATTAAACTACTTCTATCTTTTATTTCCACTCCAACATCTCAGTCTCACAGCAGAAAGTTCTGTATTTCACACACTCTTCTATAGGCAATAAATCATTTCAGATCTTCAACTTCATCAAAGAATTTGAACTTTAAGCTCAGTTTGTGGATAAATGTAAAGGCCCTCTAGTTCTGGTCCCATTTCTATCAAATGTTAAAGTCTTTGTAGGTGTTGGCTCTTGCTGAGGCTCTGATTTCATGCTTAGGTGGCACGGGATGTGGACGGATCAGGGAACTATTTCATTCTGACCCATAAGCACGTAGCTCAGATCCATCCTCTCTCTGCTTACGGAGCCAAGAGCCCCAAACTGGGCCTGCCAGAGTGGGTGCTGTTCCACGAGCACACTTTCTCAGAGGACAACTGCCTCCGAACTCTAACTCACATCACACCTGAGGAGTAAGCTTTTTTAACCTTTCATTTATTCACATATTTATGTTTTTATTGCACTTGTTTTAATAACTGGCTGCAGCCTCTTATTTCTTGAAGGCAATCAGCAGAAAACATGATCAGATCGACTCACTCTTTTGAACTGCATGTAAAGCCCCAGTTCAGCTAGTCGGGCTGCTTGTAAAAGGAAGAATTACAATCCTGTTCTCTAGTATCTGCTGGTTGGAGAGGGGATTATGGATTACACAGATCAGTAGGAATGTGCAGCTGCAGCTTAATGCAGAAAGTTAAATTGTCTGTCCTGACTGAGAGGAGCTGGTCAAATTTGATCAGGAATGAAACTATCTTTTCAAATTGAAACCAAATGCAATGTTCCACTTAAAATGTCATATTTTCTGCTCGTAGGTTTGTTCAGATGGTTCCACAGTACTTTTTCTACAACTTACCATCCAGCGAGAGCAAAGACATCCTCCAAAGCATCCTAAACCGTGAAGCTTCTCTGTGCCAGAAGGGCAAATCACATAAAGAACCTCCGGAGGACCAGACTACTGATCGCTGTGTCGTTCAGTGACTGACAGTCCTGCTGTTCAAATAAGCCCGAAGTCTTTTTATTTTTTTTTGCACTAAACTGTACAGCAGTGCCACCTGCATAGCTAAAGTATCGCTAAATCCCAGGATTTACTTCCTTCTGTCTGTGCCCCTCAGCTGTCTACTTTAATCTCATTGTTAAAGATCCAGAGTGCTCTAATATATGAAATAAATACTAGTTCTGATGCAATTTTTATTATTTTTTTACTAAAAAGACAGGTTAGTCATTTAGTCACACGTGCCGTTTAATCTGTTCATGTCAATACGCCGGCTCTCGCTGTGCCCAACGCACCTGCAGCAGAGGGTCAGGTTTGACCATGGACGTACTTTTTTTGGGTGGGGGGGGGGTGTCAAGTTTTGACCCCTGCACTTTTTACCATCCAAAAACAATATTACTTTATATTAAATTGACACTGGTTGAGCTCTAGGACCAAGCAGAAAACAACTGTTTGTGTTGAAGCCTGTTTCCCCTTAGAACATACTGTCAAGATACCATCCCCCCACCCCCACCCATGTCCCCCCCCCCACCCACTTCTACAGTGAAAATTACGTCCATGGGTTTGACTAATGAGGTGATCGGACCGTTTGGACACGCCTGCAGCTCTATCTGCTGCGAGTCCACTTGAATGGCAGAGGGGTCACCCAGTTCAGCCATTAAAGTGGAGACATGTCTTCTCTTCAGCAAAAATCAAGGGCAGCTGCTAAATATTCACCAAGTCACAGCAGCTGCTAGATATTCAAACATTTGTTCTGTATGAAGATTACCATCCAGAGGTGTGATCACCTCAGAGGAGCTGCAAACACAAATCTGTGGTTTTAATCAAAATAAAACATCAGAATTTATAAGAATTTTAAAATGATTTTATTTCTCAAAGCAAACATGCATACAAACCAGTCCACGTTTATACACAGCGTTCTGAAACACCAGCAGGGTGGATTTGCATTGAATGTTGCAGATCTATTGCACAGTTTTCTTGAAGCAAATGCAGGTTTCCTAGTTGCATGCCTCTCTTTGTATTGCTGAGGATGAGAAACATGATGTCATCTCCTGGGATGTAGTTAAATTAATTTCTGTTTACATTTTTAAGACTAGTTTTCTTCTGTAGAAAATTGAGACGATCCCAGAGTCGGACATTCGGATCTGGCCAAATCCTGGAAAATGATATAAATTATAATGAATCTACAACTTTACACAAATGTACAGTCCAAATGGATTCTAATAAATGCTGAACAGAATTTTAGGGATAGCAACTGTCCTCCTGAGGTTGTGCTTATTAATATCTGATGTTAAAAAGCCATTTCCAGACATAAAAAAAGTCTTTCAGATGAAGTCTACAGGAGAGCAGGAGCGTAAGTGGGTTTTTAAGCTGTGCTTGTTCCCGTGATGTCACTTCCTGTTTGTGGGGTCAGTTGCTGCAGGAGCTCGATGTAGAGCTCCACCCGACTGAGGAGTGGTGCGTTTTTCTCGGCACGCAGCAGCTTTGAATAAACGTTCTTGTAGGTTTTTAGCATCTCTTCATCCTTATTGCTGCAAAAAAAAACACGAAGAAGGTGGTGAGAAGGGAACACGCCAGTACAGGGAACAAAAAGAACAAGAGCGTTTCAGACTGTTACCCACCTAGCTTTTCGTTTTATTGTCGTCATCAGTTTGATGGTTTGAAGCAACAAGAAGGAGAAACTTGGCTCAAAAACGCAGGTTAACTTCATCACTTCCTGGAGGTCCAGTCCAGATGTGGAGCCAGTGGACGCATCAGGACGATCTGCTGATTCGAGAGCAGCTGCTTCACTCGACTGCCGCTGTGAACAGAAGAAACCATCATGCAGCATGTGGACATGCAGTTTTTGGTAAACACAGGAAGTGTGAGACTAACTTCTGTCTGCTCTTCTAGCAGCTCATTACAGATCAGCTGAAAGGGGTGACGAGTCTCTGTCATGATCTCTACCGCCCCAATTAGGCTCTTCAGTTTAGCGGCGCTGCTGCTCTGACCTTTAAAAACAAAGATCCACAAATGACTGAAAATCTAACTCATCACAAATTCAATACTCGTCGAAAAGCCTCAAAAACGTTTACTTCCAGGACATCTTCCATGATGAATAGCTGCTCACCTGCCATAGTAAACTCTGCTAGAGCCACCCTCTCCAGCAGCGTGCGGAGCAGCTCACAGGGAGCATCTTTCAGGCTAAGGAACAAAGAGACAGCTTTGCCGTAGTGAAGCTCCGCCAGGCTGCGATGTTGCTTCCTCAAGTGCTCGTCCCCCACCTGTCACACAATTACAGCCACAGACATCCATCAGCCAACAGCTACAGCAGATGCCCCTTTCTACTATTTTGTTCCTGCGAGAGATCTTTCACTGAAGGCATGCCACACAACAGTAAAAAGTGAGGAAGCCATTAATAAGCTGGAAGGAATTCTGATGAGAGGATATTTTAAACGAGTCTCACCTGATTACGAAAGCAGCTGTGATACATGGAGGCTAAGCGGTGGTGGATGGTGGCGGCTCTGTACTGGTACAGCAGCTGACGGGCAGACTCTGTCTGCAGGTCGCAGTATTTAAGAGACTTCATCATGGCCTCCGTCACCTCCCGCTCAATCTGCAGACACACAGACACTAGCTTAGCTCACAGCTCTAAAAGTCAATGCACACATTAGTAAAATGTACATAATTGCTGAAAAAAGATGGCCGACTGAAGGATATTGAGTCTCACCTGCTCCTGAGCCTTCCTGGACAGTGGGGCGTAGTCCTGCAGAAGTGTAGCTAGAGTGAAATAGGTCGTGGACAACTCCCAGTTTACACTGTCCCACACTGCTGTGTGACTCTCTCTGCTGGACAGAGACTTCATAGCTCGCAAGTAGTAGTCAATCGCCTGGAGTTCAAGAAAAAAGTCTAAGTGAGAACAGGTATCAGTAGAACTGCAGAACCACAGAGGATATCTGAACCTTATTGTAGTACAGAGCCTCCTCCGGTGAGAACTCCCCTCTGCTCTCGTCAGCAGAGGCTCCGCAGTGGGCCTGAGCACAGATCCTCATCAGCCGGCCTGTGTTACACAGCAGTAAGGCCGTGTTGGTGATGTCTCCGATGGCCTCAAAGTCCTTCATTCCTTTCTCAAAGAAGCCAAAACTCTTCTTCCACAGCTCCTGCTCTGCTGCAGACACGGAACTTCTCACTAGCAATTCAGCACACAGAGAAAAGTGTCACTTTTTAGGAATTTTCCCCTCAAAATAACTAAAAGTCTCCAAATGATGATGTCTGAGAACAAACCCTCTTTCTCCGTCTGCATGGCTGCAGCCTGATTCATATAGTAAACGCCCATCTCGTTGCGGATGTTTCCGAGTCTCTTGAGGACCTGAGAAAGCTGATCTGAGGGTTGATCTTTTGAGTCCTCTGAGATCAGAAGTTCGTGTGCCGCTTCGTAGCATTTGCAGCTAACAAACAGCTGGTATTCAGGATCCATAGCCAGGTCCGTTGCCATATTGAAAGCTAACAAGCAGAAAAATGAAACAAACATTAATTAAACACAGCTTGGTGCTTTTCTAAGCATTCTGGAAAGTGTGTGCTTCAACTGATTTGGCTAAGGTAGTGCACATGGGGGCGGACCCTGGCAGCTGCTCTCTCTGTGCAGGCAGTGCAGGATCTCCTGGTCCTCTTTGGTTTGATAGCTGTATTCCTCCAGGTAAGCAGCTCTGTTGCTGACATTCTGAGCCAACATCAGCTGGATGTCTCCACACAGCGACAGGCACTGGCTGTGAAGTTGCAGCACTTGTGAGTGCAACGTTGCACTAATGGAACAATAAGCATCTGAGGACAAAAACAAAAAGGAGAGCAGATGGAGAAGTACTGTATTTTCACGACCATAGGGTGCACCGTGTTATAGGGCGCAGCTTCAGTTACGGGTGTCTTTTTGGTATTTAACACATACATAAGGCACATCGGATTTTAGGGCGCGAACGCGGTAAAACATACCGGTAAAACATCTGTGCGGGCTCGGGACGGAACATGTCAGTGCAAACCAGACATTGTGAAAATTATAAACAGCCAAAAGCATGCTTCACTTTACTGTCTAGCCCTGGTTCAGACCTGGTTTAGAGCGCACGTGCACTTCCTCATTGCGTGTGCTGACGGCTCGTGCTCTTCTAATGGGCTCGACACACAGGAGGCAACTTCGCCTCTCCTCCATTCATTTTCAATGAGACATGCGCGACAAAGCGATAATCGCGGGTCTCCCTCCTACTAAAGCCGGGCGTACACCGGGAGTGCTGCCGGAGGACACACAAGGATTTATGGGGGTTGGATGAGGAAAACGAAATAAAGAAAGTAAATCTGTTTTGTGATCAGGTTAATTTGACATGAACACGACAAACACGCTTTCTTGACAATCTTTGTGAGTAAAAAAATGTGTAGAAAAATAAACGAACAGCGTGTGTTATTAGGGAAACGGAGGGCGAGCGGTGTTGATGCAGGATTGCGCATGCACCGAGAGCGGTTCCGGTACTTTTTGGGTCGCAGCGCCGCTTCAAGCGCTGATGCGCTGTGTTGAAGTTCAGAATGTGTTTACCGGTAGTTGTTGGATTTAACCACATAAACTTTCCACATGAACAAAATCATATGTGTGTTAGTAATAGGCCTAAGAAAACAGTGTGATCTGAATTGTGTTTTATTAACCCTCTGAGGTCCATGAACGCATATCTGCGTCTTTTGAACAGGCCTGATTTGGGACGCTGTAGCAGCAAGACTCCGCCTCCCTGAGTTTCGGTTTCAATCCAGATTTAAAAAGGAGATAATAACTACACCCCAGTTTTTAAATTGTGTTAATAGGCAACGTAAAAGCGGAGTTATACTAAACTAAAAACGACCTCTTTTTAGACACTCTGACAACTTGTGTAAACAGCAGTTTAGTAATCCGTGAGAGGGAATGTGCTTGTGAACATAAAAAAACCACAAAAACATGAGATCCTTTTGCTGTTGGTGGAAGTCTCACATATCCAATTGATAAAAAGTATCATTATGTAGCTGAGAGAGGAAGCTGCACGAGTAACGAGCTGTGCGCAAAAAGGAGCCGCTTCGCGAGGAAAGGAGTGGCGCGAACGGAGTAACAACAAACAGTTAGACAGATATTGACGGTAAACTTCATATTTTGGAGCGATCTGGACAGATATATTGTTGCTGCAGTTTAGTAGGCTTTTATTAGGCTTTAATAAAGGATGATGAGAAGGATAAATGTCCACCAGGCAGTTCAGATAGCAAGGCTGCTTTTGAACTGGAAGCAGAGGAAGTGGACGGAGACTCGCAGCCGGAGTCTGAGGCAAACAGCAAGGATGTTGATGACGATGTGGCAGATCCACAGGTCTGTCTTCGCTCACGTCCGCACGTTCACACCACGCCCCTTGTCTTCTACTACGTTAACGTCTCACAACAACACAATAGGCGCACCGCACCATAGGGCGCGGCGTACATTTTAGAGAAGATTTAAGACTTTTAGGTGCGCCTTATGGTTGTGAAAATACGGTATGTATCGATACTGGATGTTTAAATGAGGTTGGTATTTAATCACAAGCTAAATGTACTTTAGACTGCAATTCAAAAAAAGGATAAAACAAGCAAATCCATACAATTACACAAGTAAACTCACCGTAACATTGCAGAGAAAGCTTGATGTAGCGTAGAGCTCGCCCGTACTTCAGCAGGTTTGTGGCTGCATCTGACAGCACGTAGTACGCCTTGCACGCTTTAAGAAAAAGCTGCAGCTTCATACGGTGCTGCCAGGAGCCAGGGATCATCCCCGAGCGAGTTGGGTGCTTCTGGTCCACCTGTACATACCCTGCTGGAAAAAACATCATAAACAGGTCACCCTTTAGCCATGATGCATTTCCATTTCCTGTTTTATTTTGCATCATGTTGTTTTGTTTAAACAGTGATGAATTATGAAAGGTAGACTGACCTCTTTCCAGCAGAAGGGAGATGCTTTTCTCAGATGTTCCATTAGCGCCTCCATCCTCATATTTAAGGGGAATGGGTGTGTTCGGGTCTGCAGCTGGGAGATCGCTCTCCTTTTTGACGCTACTGTCCACAGCCTTCAGTCCCTGTTCATTACCAGATTATGATTTTATTGAAAGTTTATTTGTCTGACTTATAAGCACCGTGCAGAATAAATCTGACATAATCATTCAGATCTTTTGCTCCCCGAGACTGAAACCACTTGTCTAGTTATTACCTTTAAAACGTAGCTCAGGACGTGTCTGCATCGCTCCTCCTTGTCTTGAGAAACAGGAAAAGCACAACTTGGCTGCAACAAATGTAAAAAATAAACAAACTTACTTCATTATTATTGTGTGTAATCTCCACTCTCCTCCTTTCACTGCGTGGGGAGACAAAGGCAGGAAGTAACGAGTCACTCACTCTGATCTGGTGAGTTGATTTGTATTTCTCAGGAACCGACAGCTCCACCACAGAACGAATCACGGCCACCGCCTTACTGTCATCCTGAGGCCTGGAGCAGTTACTATAGGATCCGTTCTCATCGCTGTCCTCCGTCAGATCATCCTCCTCCCCCTCTTCTTCCTCCCTGTCTTCATCACTGTAGCTGTCTTCTAAGCCGCCGGCCCGCAGCGACTCCCCGTCTTCATCAGGAGGCTCATCCAGCCGGAACAGCTCTGACAGCATGTAGTAGACAGAGGCAATGATCTGGGAACAAGGGCATCGGGAATGCAGTTGAGTTCGTTCACATCGACGTGGTTTCACTTGTCGATCCCAAAAACAAACCTTAAACCCCCACATATACCTGAGGATGCTTCTCCTCATCAAGAAGTTTGATGCAGTTTAAGAGCAGAGTCCTGATTTTTGCGTAGTGCTTTCTGTTTTGCCTCACCTTCAGCATCAGGTTGCAGGCCACTCTGCAGCACAAATGAGAAAAATGACAGCCTCTAACGCTTAGACACACACTGTTGTGCAAATCCACAGGATATCACAAACCCCTCACTTGTATAATAACACAGCAACGGGAAGAGTGAAGGGATTCTGGTGTTTCTCTTCTTCTGCCTCCTCACATAAAGTAGTGAGGTCATAAAGCTTCACGATGTCACTCCCACTGGCTGAAGATGCAAGGTGAGACAGTTGAGTCATTAGATATACATAAATATGGAGTAAGCATCAAGAAGACACAACGGTGTGGTTCTCCACCTTTAAACAGCCAGTAGGTGTGGCCTTCTTTAGTGCAGTTGGACTTCAGGAAGGAGAGGATGTTCTGGGCGATGTCTTTCACCACCCTCGTGGAGAAAGTTGAATTCTCCAAATGAGGGATGTCTTCTGTTTTTATCATTTCATATTTCTGAAAGGGAAAAACGTCAAAACCGAGAGAATTAAAAATAATTCAATCACATTAAAAGCTGGTGGGCCGTAAATCGTTAACGATAACAGTAAGTTTTCTTTGCTCAGGCAAACACATTTCTCATATGCCAATTAGACGACATCAGCATGTCAGCTGCGCTCACGTGGATCTCCTCACCATTTGTAGTTCTTAAACATTAACTACAAAACACAGAAACACCTAATTTTGCAAATAAATATTCATGTATTCTGTTCTTCAAAGTAAAAGTTGAGCAAATCTTTAAAAGATTATGCTAAAACAGTGTTACGGAGGACCATGTCACTTTGTTGCTTGTGAAAGCTGACTAACAATCTTTACCTTTTTAAAAGGGACACTTTGCAGTTTTGGCTTGCTTTTAGCACCTGTGTCCAGTTAGTAAAAACAAAAGTGAAACCTATCTCTTCGCTGTGTAACACCTTAAATCTAACTGCTGAAATGTCTCCTCTGCCTTCTACAGAAGTGATTCATCACTAAATTAAACAAATCAGCTGTGTTCATGATCCAAAACATGCAGCAAACATGACGGAACCGGACTGCAGCGCCGGGCATGTCAGCTCCTCTTTACTAAAGCTAACAGGGATCGGACTGGCACTCCAAAGTTGCAAGTGCAATATTCTGGCCACAGATCGCGGTGAGGATTGAGTGACATTTCATAAACCCTGTAAGGGCCATTTTAGCACATACTGGCTCAGGAAAATAATTTAAAATTTTCTAAAAGTTGCAGAGTATGCCTTTAATTCTGTTGTTGCTGAATTGATTAATTATTATTCATTCACTGTAGAATTACATAATGTTTAGGTCAATAAATGTGGAAAGAATGGAAATGCAGAACTGAAAATGGAGTTTTGTCCAGCATTGCGGGTTTCTGGTTCTGGCAGAAGATACCTGAGGGGAGGGCTGAGTGTTCCAAGACCGTGTTTGCGTTCAAAAACTAGCTTGTTTGCAGATTTGCCGTAACAGCTTTAAATTACATGATCAGTATGTCTCTGCTGAATATTGTTACTGAGCTGTAAAATAACCACCCTGCATGTAGAATCTGCTGCTATATAAAAGATTGTTTCTTCTTCTTTTCCTGCAATATCCCTGAAGAGACAGTAAACTGTACCTGAACAATGCCATTGACATGAAAACACATGACCAGCTCCGGGACGTTACACATCAGATTGTCCAGCCAGTAGTCGATGCCTGTCAGAACGTTGATTGGTTTATTGCTGTCCCTGAAAACAGAGAGAGAGAGTCCAAAGTGAGGGCTCAGCAGCCATGTGACCATTTAATCAGTCAGACTGAGCAGCGCACACACACACACACACACACACACACACACACACACACACACACACACACACACACACACACACACACACACACACACACACACACACACACACACTTCAATGTTTATTTGGGATAAAATGGCTCAAATATCAAACCTGAGTCTCAAGCTGACAGCAGGATAGCGACCTCCTCCGAAGATCGGCATGTTGGACCCAACTAACATGTGGATATCCTCAAACGTCCACATGATGTTTCGTACAAAATCGTTCCTTAAACCCTGTAAATGATCACATAAAGTACAGCGTGTATGAAAGCACTCATACAGTAATAACATTAAGATGTTTTGCATTTACCTGACTGTTTTCCCCTTCGTTAAAAAGAGTGGGGAGGTTTTGCTCTTTGGGTACCGACGTCACCTGACCCAGAGCAAACGTGCTGTCCACAGAAACGCTTTCCTGCACATTTAACAGCAACAGTGTTTCATTCTTCTAATAAATTCTAGCAACTGTTCCTAACCGTGTCTAATATTGAGACAATAACCTGACATAAACACCGACAGCATTGTGTGTGCAGCTCAGCTACCTGTTTGGGCATATCTGATTCTTCTGCGTCAGACATTGTGCTGGTGAAAGTGGCAGGCCATGTGGAGCTGTACTCCTCGGCTTCATTCTCCTCATCTTCTTTATCAATGTCATGTGACACAGGCTCTGCAGCCCCATCACCGTTTATGCTACCAGAGACATAGATTATTTATACTGAGAATGATGCATTAAGCTCAAGTCAATCAATGAAGCAAAGCTATTTACTCACCTGTAGTAGAGGAACTTGGATAGGATGGCTTTCTGGTACCAGTTCTCTTTGCTCTTCTTTTTTCTTTGCCATTTTTGATCTATTAGTCGCTGATAAATCTCTTTGAGCCAGGTCCAATCCCTGGTCTGTACAGTATAAAGCATGCTAAAACATGGTCGTGTAAATAAATATTTTAAAGAAGCTAAATGGAAAACACATTTTTACCTGTGAGGATCTGCGTAAGAGTTCCTGAATGTCCAACTCGTCCAAAAGCAGCGTCCTTCCAACGCGGTGAACAGCCATACTAACATGCGACTTGCTGTAGGGAATTTTCAAAAGCTTCTTGATGTTCTTAAATGAAACATAAAAACAAAATTAACATCAGCTGTGTGTAAATTTCTGAAAAAGAAAAGGATTCAATTGTCTTAGAACATCACCAACCTCAGAGTCTGAAACCACATCAACATCATCTCCGATGCAGTCAATGAAGTCATAAGCCATCCCAAAACTGAGGAAAAAGGCAAAAATCGATCCATTACATTTGTTTGATGATCAAATAATCTCAAGCTGAAATCTCTTGTTATTAGCACTTCAGACAGGGAGAGATTATAGGGTTTGTTTACATATATATTTTCATTAAAAACTGCAACATGACATTTTTAGACTATTTCGTTTTTAGAATATGGTCGTGTAAATAAATATTTTAAAGAATATATATATATATATATATATTTTAAAGAAGCTGACTATGCTGCACACAGGCATAAGGCATAACTAGAGACGTTTGAGAAAGAATAAAAAGAGTTTAGGTTTGGCACTGGCACTTATGCTTCACAGCAAGAGATACAGCTCTGCAGTCACCTCCAGGCTACCAATATTTAGCTAAATTTGACAGGACAGGACTCCTCTTCACAGTTAATTACTCAGATACCATTTTTACCTGGAGAAAGGCTTGCACTTGCTGCTGGAGCCTAACACAGTGGTACCAGCACTGCCCAACTGAGGGTTTTCTCTCAGCCAGTTGGCAGGTGGCAGCTTCAGGTCTGTTTTCTCCTGCAGCAGGGCGTAGGTGGTAGGAGGTGGTGCAGCAGAATACTTGACGACAGCACAGCTTTTTACCTCACCATTGCCTAAGCAAACTGCAGACTCCTACAAAATAAGAGTCATGATAAAAACAAAGGAACACACTCCACATTTGAACTCACTGACTAAATGTTGAATAATTACTCCAGGTAACAGTAAAGAGCTATTTTGATGGATAGTCTTACATGTAACGATTTATTGACTGAAATAAACTGTCATAACATTCACTCGCCAAGTAACTTACATGTTTGCTGTAATCTCCTGTGCTGCTGGAGCCACCAATGTCTTCCCTAGCAGTGTCCCAGGGCATCCCAGGCTCTCCGTCCCCAGCTGTTGATGAGCTCATTCTGGTAAGACGGCCGCTACCCCGCAGTCATAAGCCGGTTCCTAATCACTAGAGATCACGTTTACAGATTAGGCAGTACATTATCTCGAAGGCGTACGGTATTCGTGAATTTCACCGATAAATTCACCGTTAGCTAGTTTAAGCTCCACGAAAGAGTAGTAACGTTAGCATGAAAAAAAGTGTCAATAAGACTCGGCAATTTAAACTAAAGCTACCAAACTCTCAAATGAGGACGTATTATTGCGTTTTTAGTCCAAAAACATTTTGTCAACAGTAACTTCTGTCACTAGCATGTACCTTCTTTCCATCTGCACACGACTGTGTACATGTCTGACGCTAGTTAACGGAGACGAAACAACTTCCGGTTTAAAGTCATGGGCGGCAGGAAAATTTCTTATTTCCAAGTTTTTCGGCAACATTTCTGTCAAGTTTTGAAAATAAAATACAAAAGTATGCTCGTTCAAAATAATAAACCCAAATTCTGACTTAACAAGCAACAATAACTCCCTAAAAATATATTTTTATTAATTGAACGTGAACCGGAAGTACCTAGAAAGGTTCTTTCTAGAACTTTTGAGTGTGTTCTGTTTTGAAGTCTTTTACTTTGAAATTGACAATTAGAAAAACACGTGAAGTGTTGTAGAAAGGAACTACACAAAATTAAAATGTAGTATTTATTAAATGTACTAATTCCTTTTAATGAAATAATAATACAACGAAATAATAATACAAATAAACAAAAGTAAATAATAACATTATTATGGCATTCCATTGACGTAACTTTTAGGCCTACAGTGAGTTTTATCTGGGTGTGTTCTCCATTGAGAGGTGATTCGATTTTAAAAGATTTGTAGATTTGGTCAACTCCGCAGAGGAATGTCAAGCAGCTGCGTTAAAATGGGGCGGAGCCGTTAACGTTGCTGACAGACCCAAATTCTTGTGCTGATTACTTGTCAGCTGCTACTTCGTGACCTTATTTGAAAAGCTTGTAAAGGAAACAATCAGAATATTAACAGAGAATTATGGGAAGCTGGAAGAATCACGTTCGCGCTCGACTTGAGCAGAGAGATTTCAAAGAAAAACATCCATTTATTGGAGTCTTCTCAAGCTGTAAGAGTAACGTTTATTTTATATTTAATTAAAGTAATAATGTTTTTATATTGTCAGATTTTTTCTAGTGTCTCAGCTGGAGGAACGTTTGGAAATTCGAGAACAGATTTTGGAGGATATGCATGATAAGAGGTTAAAACAATCTTTGGTCAAATTTTGTATTTAGTTTTTTGCATGACAATTTAAACGTATTGACTATATTTTTAGCGTGGATGGAGGTGAAGGGGTAACAGGAAAAGACACCCAGCTCATTCAACTGCAGCTTAAGGAAAGTGAACACTTGGTCCACAAGGTGAGTGAAATCAGCTGCAATCTGGAAAGGAAAGGAAATATTCTTCTTTAATGATGAATGCCATTTTTTCTCATCAGTTGTCTCAAACTGTCTCTGATCTGACCTCTGTCCTGTATTTGAAAGAAGCTGAGCTACAATACTGGCAGTCATGGTACTTTTTAATCTAATTTATTTGTAGAATCCAAAAACACAAAGAAAAGTGCAAGTTTTAGATCAATTATTAAACTGCATTCAGTTTTGTAGGAGTGAATTTAACCTATACAACCAACATAACACCAAGAGATCAATAAATTTTTATTTTACTATACTTTCCAGTGTGTCACAACATCGCCAAGAGGCTCTTACTCTGGCCAAAAGGAACAGCAATTTAAACAAAACTCTTGTAGATTTAGAGTTCACTGTAGATCTTCAGTTCAAAGAGTTAGCGGCCCTGCGATTGGAGAAAAATAAAATGAAGGAGGCGCTGGATCAGGCTCATGTAGACCAAGAACAGACGCTGCATCGGTGGATTGAGGAGAAGAAGAAGGAGGCAGACAGGCTGAATAAATATAATGACAAACAGGAAAGGTAAAAGTTCAAATGTTTCCTCTTTGATGCAAGAAAAGCTGAAACATATTTATTTGTTCACTTTGAAGACGGAAACCAAACTAAATGTGGGTAAATATACAATTATAGTATACCTTTTTATTTTTCAGGTGGCAACATGTGGCCAAACAGCTGAGGAAGCAGCTCCAAGGGCAGAGGGGGAAGAAATCTGGTGCAAATGGAACATCTTCATCAGCCATTCAGAGTAAGAGTTTTATAACAATGCAGTGCAGCAACAAGAGAAACCATCAATGCAGTTATGTAAGTGGGTTAAAATTAACAAGGTCAATACAAGAGGATTTTAGCAGAGAGATTATGTGCTTTACTAGTTAACGGTCGTTTTAGTGGCTGAGATGTCTGTAATACAATAATAAATACTCAATTTCAAGTCAAAATAAGTATTTTACTGACCTGTGAATAGTTGTATTTATGTATTTTGTTCTTTTGTCACTAATAATCCTGTGACATATCACATTTTAACCTGTATCATTTTCTCATTTGAATGTTTTGATTTCTTTCCTGCAGAGATTTTTATCTCAAAGGACACTCAGACAGCTGCCTGTCAGATGCAGAAGTTCTCCGTCCCCTCACAAACCTCTGGATCAGATGCCCCAGATAGCAAACATTTTGGTTTCATTTTGGTTTTATTTTGGCATTAATTGGGCATTTTGGCATCCTTCTGGCACAAAAAAATTCGAAAAAGTATTTTGGTTTAAATGTGGCATAATTTTGGGTTCCCATTATAGACAATTACATCAGCGAGTGTTTCTGTTTTAACCGTGGCATAATTATGGTTTGCCATAAAAGAAAATTAGGCGGCTGGCTATTATGGCATATTCTGGGTAGCCAGAAGAGAGCGGGACAGCGTCTTTGACTTCTGCAGGTGTGCTATGGGGTTATTTTGGCAAGCCATAAAACTCATCAAATGGCGGGAAAAATAGTGATCGAAGACCGGGAATCAGGACTAATTTGTTCATTTCTCCAGCATCACGACAGAGGTGAGTACTATTTCTTCTTGAATCCTACCTTTTTGTTTGCTATAGTTTTGTTTTAGGTCTGTATTGTTTGTTTTAGCAAAATGTAATATTCGGCCTCGTTCCGGGATGAGTATGATGGAGTCGGCAACTGATGTTGAAAAGAAGCTGAAACAAGGTCTTTATGACACAAAAACCAAAGCAAGGCAAGTCAGACATTTGGAGCAGTTTCTCCGATTGTGTTAATATTTCTCATTCAGGTCTCAGAAAAGTGACCTCGATCACTTTCTGATTACAGAGGAGAATGGAATATGAAACGGCCTTGATTTCATTATCCCTTTAAGCACCACACAATAGCTCCTTTAGGTTTTTTTTAAAGAATTTTATAGTTTAAGTAGCGAGTTGTTTGAAATCACATGCGCCAATGCGTCACCGGTGATCCTGGTGACGCATCGGCGTTAAAGGGTTAAAAACTAAATGAAAACGAAGTGCGTCAATCCTGACCAATGTGTTAAAAGACGTGCAGGATCCGATCAATTTGTTTTTCCCTCATTTCTAGTCACGGAGATAACGGCGCACTGGCTCTTGTTAATCAAGTTAAATTCAATCTCTTTCCAACAATTTTCACAAGAAAACAAAACAGTTAAAAGCAGGGCTTGTGTTGTGTTGACCGGATATTTCCCGCATTTGACCGTTTATTTTGACGGAGAAAGAATAGAAAGAATACGCATGCAGACAAACTGACATTTTATTGCAGATGTAGCTAAATCACCCGAGAAAAGATTCCCATCTGAACATCTGAGCTGGACACCGCTCAGCGCAGCTCGCTGTCAGTGCGTACGTACGGTGCACAGCGAGCTGAAGATGTGGAGAGGGGCTTGGAGCGTGTCGCAAAACCAGGGCGCATGCGGGAAGGTCAGAAAATGTTCCCTGATTATGAAACTTTGGCTGAATAGCGCTTGTTCCTGTCTCCAATGTGGCAACACATCCCTGAGCCTGTCTGAGGAGAAGCCCAGAATCTCATGTCTTCTTCAGCTCAGAAAATGCCAATTACGCACAAGCGTGACCCGTCAACCCGGTCTCACAGTAAGACTGGGTTGGAACTGTTCAGGTTTACGCAGACAATCTTTACATTTAGAATTGACTTACAGATATAACGTTAATTCAGTAAAATATAAAGCATTTTATTTAAATATCCATTATTTTACAAGCACAGAGAGCCGCACCAGATGGATGGAAGAGCCGCGGGTTGCCGACCCCTGGTATAGCCTATAAAATGACGTTTTCTCCAGGACCAGAGAGGACACAAACTCATTACATGTCTTTTATTGTGAGTTAATAATTTCTCAGAGTTTTGCGGTTGCGGGCGGGAGTAGACATGCACACAGCGGGTGCGGGAGTGTTGCACACACGTTGCGGTTGCAGGCGGTAATGGTCAGAAATTCAGCGGGAGCGGGCAGGAGCGGTATATTTAATAAAGATAATTAAGAAAGTGACACAACATGAAAATGTACTCTGTTGTGAACACAGATGACTTAATGAGGCGAGGAGGAAGCTCCCTCTTGCTGAGGAGCAGACAGACCTCCAGTCTGAGGCGGAAGCCATTGAAAGGCCTCAAAGAAGAATTAAGTAAGAATTTTGTGAACTTTCCATTCCTCCACCTCTTGGGCCTGTGTTGAATTTGCACTCATTAACTTAAATTAAATGTTTAATTCAGAATAAATGTTGTCTTGTGTGTTCATTTCCAAAGGCCAAGCATATGTCCAGGACCGGGCCTCATCAGAGGATGAAGCCCAGACCCCTGGAAGAGGGCTTCCCCCACCCCCAGCCATCCCCCCAGTGAGGAGAAGGTTCATCCTCCCCAATAACCTGTACCTCTGCCTGACCTGACCAATTACCAGGTAATGGAAATCTCAACAAATACCACAGTAACGTATGTATAGCAAATGGGTTTGAGTGTAGCTGATCAGGTAAGTGTGGTGTTTCATATGTGATACATTAGGAAATTTACAAAGGTTAATGAGGCAGTTGCAGGCAGTTTGGAGAAAAACAATTCTGTAGCCATTATGTCACTGTTGAGGTCAATAATTGCATTTTGTAAACTGTTGTTCTTCTTCCTCTCCCTCTTCTACTCACTCTTCCAGCATGTCATGACCCTGGGGACATCATTGCGGCAGGCCATTGACCTGCAGGGTCACCAGGGAACCCAGGGGGTTCCAGTTCCAACTCCCTCTTCATCTGGTGGGATGATGAGGGAGGAATCGGCTGTCCAGGTGCCTACAGTTTGCCCTAGCTCCTCTCCAGGGCAGTGGCAGCAGAGGGACGACACAACATGTAAGGTTTTTATGGTTTACACTCACCCAGTCCTCACATGCCAGTTTCGGTATACAAACACACATGATCCACGCATGCATACATACTAATATAAGATGGTTTATAAAGCTAAACACACACACACACACAGAGAGAGAGTCTGAATGGAAAAGAATTATGTTTATGTATTTAGCAGACACTTTTGTCCAAAGCGACTTACAAGTGATAATCGGCATGTTGCCCTTGAGGCTAACAACAGCAACAACTTGACATCAGTCATGGAGAGGAGGAAACAAGGAGTGGACAGTAGAGAGGGGGGACGGGTGCAGGGGGGGTGCTAGTTTAGAAGATGCTCTCTGAAGAGCAGGGTTTTCAGGAGTTTCTTGAAAATTGAAAATGAAGCCCCTGTTCTGGTAGTGCTTGGAAGGTCATTCCACATTTGTGGAACGATGCATGAGAAGAGTCTGGATTGTCCTGAGAGTGGTGTAGGCACTGCTAGCCGACAATCCTGTGATGACCGGAGCGACCGGGCCGAGACGTAAGCCTTTGCAAGAGGATTCAGGTAGATGGGAGCCGTACCATCTCGGACTTTGTATGCTAGTGTTAGCAATTTGAATTTGATGCGTGCTGCTAGCGGTAGCCAGTGGAGCTCAATGAACAGAGGGGTGACGTGTGCTCTTTTTGGTTAATTAAAATGCCACACACACACACACACAACATCTAAATGCAAAAATGCTTAAACTATGTTGTTTCTTTGTGTCTGAAATGCTTTTCAGCTCTCCTGCATGAAGTCCTGGTGAAACAGGAAATAATCCTGCTGCAGCAGCGCGGCCTCACCAAAATGGTGCAGGACCTTTTGTTGCTGTTGCTGCTCTTCAGGGCCTGACCACAGGGGGAAGTGTGGAGACCAGGCACCACGGCATCTTCCCCTTGGCAGATGTTCAGGCCCTGATGGCCTTGGAGAGGGAGCTTGGAATCAGTCCAACATTGGCCCATGAATTGGTGAGCTTTTTTCTGTTCTTTACAACAAAGTTTTGGACAATGCATTTTGGCATGCACATCCAATTTATGTGTTGTTCAATATCTTAAAGCGGTAGATATGCCAAAGGAGTTAAAGGACTGCTTGTGCAGCCAACGAGCTCCACCCAATTATCCCCCCCCCCCCCCACACACACACACACACATTTCAGGTCTCTGCCATTCATCAGGCAACCACGAAACGCCAAATAAATAAATAGTGGAGCACAATGGCTATCCAGGCTTTTCTTTAAGTTTGTATAATATTTGTTTGAAAATTCAATGAAAATCAATCTTTGTTTAAAAAATTAATGAAGATCAATTTTTCTAATTTTAGGGTTCAACACTCGGCCTTGTGGGGGGTCCACAGTTAAGGACACGGTGTGGCGGGTCCTCAAAGGAGCCATGACTAATGCCCTCGCCGAGGGCCAAATGGGAAGGTGGCCTTTGAGAGGCTCCACCTAAAAGGCATTGTAATTGGTAAGTTTAATCACAACAGTAACACGACTGTTCTATCACACAGCTGATAAAATCATAGTTTAGGATAAAATTATTAGCCACCCATGACAATCACATTTCTTTTCAAAGTCAAAATACTTATAGTCTTAACAACTCATTTGCGAAATGGCACGCAGTGCGCCTGTGAATGTCTCGTAATTATAACACCACGCTATCGCTGGCTTCAAGACAGCTATTGCCACTTTGCCCGCAATGTGACGCGTTCTTCAGGGTCAACTCTCGCTCGTGAAATTCTTGTTTGGTTTTAGTGTCAGGAAAGAACTGCTGGTTTGTGTTTGGTAAAGTAAACTGTGGCAGTGTAAGTACTAAGTGACTATGATGATTTAATGTTGTAACTTTGGCTGTCACTTTCAACCCCATATGACGAGATGCATCCATTAACTAATGCAAAACTGACTTTTTAACTAGCCAGTTACTTAGCCCACCACAGGTCTCTTTTGCATGGACTGTTGCGTCGTCCTTTTCTAAGTCTTTCTCCATGTGTATGCCTTTATTTTCAGCTGCAGTGAGAAGGAATCCGGTCTGTGTGGCATCTACGGAGGCAGAAATTATAAATACAATTAAAAAATGGTTCTACTGGGCTGGGGATAGGGACGGAGGGCGCAAAAGGAGAATGCCCGCCCAACCAACCCCTCAACCAGCCCAGGACTCAGTCCAGAACTGACCTTTACAAAAATAAATAAATAAAATATTCAAATTTTACTCTTGTTTGGTTTTATGTTTATGCACCTCGTACACACAGTAACCTAGGCTATTTCACAAGGCTATTTAACTGAGGCACAAAATCTGAATCTTCTGTACAAGGACATTTTATAGACTATTAAAATGTTAAATTAAATTTAGCATAAGGTTCTGAATAAAATACAATCTTTTGGTAAACGTATGGCTAATTATGGATAAGTTATGGTTCATATTTGGCTTTATTATGGGGTTTTGGGATGGTTATGGCTATGCTTTGGAAAGCCACATTTTATTTTGGGTGATCTTTTGGCAAACGTATGGTTACACTTTGATATCCTTTGGCCATTTTGTGGTGTTTTGGTGTTCTTTTGGTATAGTTATGGTTGTGCTTTGGAATTCCACAATTTATTTTGGAAGAATTCTGGCAATCTTTTGACAATCCATAATTCTATTTTGGCGTGCCTTATTTGGGCCATATTTGGCCCATCATTCCACCCAAAAGAGTACCAAACTGGCATGCCAAACTAGTGCCAAAAATGATTCTGGCAATCTTTTGACAATCCATAATTCTATTTTGGTGGGCCTAATATGGGCCATATTTGGCCCATCATTCCATCCAAAAGAGTACCAAGACTGGCTTGCCAAACTAGGGCCAAAAAGAATTTGCTATCTGGGGCATGTAGATAGATGACTTACTCTTTGCTACTTTTTGAACTTTTTTATTTACATTCACATAAACTTTTAAAACAACCAGTGGTCTTAAAAGTTGCAATGAAAATGAATGGTTTTGAGAAGAAAAGACTGTCCTGGCTGGTAACCTTTAGAGGAAAACTAAAATCTTTATTTTTTTCAGTTTTGTTCTTAATGAAATGTGTATAGATTGTCATTCTTTTTGGTTTTAATTTATAAAAGGATATTTGTTTTATAAAAATGTTTAAAATTGTAGCTTTGTACTTCTAATCAATAGTTAACATGTTTGACTTGTAAATAAATTAATAAACATGATAATTCTCCTTTTATAATATAAATCATTGCCTTTTCTAATGTATCAGAACATGTCACTGAATCAGTTTTGGACATCCTTGTCAGCTAAACTTGGGATACATGTACATTTTGCATATGTGTCAAACATGGCTTTTGATTAGAAACTTGGATTTTCATATCTAATATCACCTTTGATGAGTGATATTAGGAAAAAAGACATTGCTGTGATTTCCAATTAACTCTGAATGAAAAATGCAAACAAACAAAAGGCTGTATGAATATAAACTTTTTTTTTATTATTTTTCAATTTTACTCCCAATAATTCCACTTGTGGTTCTTTTTCCTTATCAAAAACAAGAAAGAGACAGGTTTTGTCCAAACTCAGCGGGGGGCATTTATTTACACAACTGGCTGTTATTTACACAACTGGCTGTGGCTATTTACACAACCGGCTGGCATTGATAAGCAACATGTCAACATGCAGTACACAAAACACTGCTTTTAGCTCCTACAGATCCCCCCCATGGGGGTGTCCACCCCCATTAATAAGCTGGCTACATAACATATAACTTAACACATAAGTGAACGTTAACATAAACCAGTAAATGGGCGTCGAATGGCAAAATGACAAATACACTACAAACTTCAACCAAACTATATAGGCATATATGTAACGACGAAGTAACTGCAAACCAACACTTGGATGAGTACACAAAGTAAGTATCAGCTTCAAAACACAATATGGAATGTGACGTCTTTAACCAGCTCAGTCACATCAAAATGCATGCGCAAACTGTAAGGGGGCGAAAACCTGTCCGCTGTTATTAACAGGAAAAATTCCCCCTTGACCTCCTGGCCCCAAACAGGACGGTCACATAAAGCACAGAGTGAGCATGCAAGCCTAGCCTAAGTATATGGCAGACATTAGGTAACAGTGAATTAACAAAAGAACGCACGTAAGAGAAAACAAACTGATGAAACCTTCCAACAGAGAACAAAAATCATAAGCATGATCGAGCATTAATTACCCTTAGCAATATTGCAACCAGTAACTGTACGTGAATATGCAATCAAAAATACAAACTCATGTGAAATAAATGATTGACGTGGATACGAATGAACGACTAGATGATGTCGCTGCGACTAAACCTATAAAAGTTAAACACAACAGGAGGTGTAATGAATATACTCAACGTAACAACACAACTGCTCAACTGAAATAGAGAACGGAGTCAGAGTCCCAGCTGCAGAACTGAAAAAGAAATGGAGTGAAGAAAACATAAGAGTCAAGTTCAGTTTTATTGATGACTGCTGCAGGGGTCTTGCCGCTGGAAGAGGACTTTGAGGCCGATTCCTTAGTCGAGTGCATGTAACCACAACAGCAACATCTATGATGAGACGCAAAGATTACTCCGCCGTTGTCCCATCAGCCGTCCCATTCTTCAGGCACATTGGGTGTTGTGCTGAGTCCATTGCGGCCATTTCCATTTGCACATATTGAGACGACGCAGCAAGGTTCATTTGGGCAGCCAGAGTTCGCTCCCACAGTCTCCTCACAACAGGTAGGATGCAACATGCCAATAGAGAAATCAGAATTAGTACTACTATTGCACTAATTCCTGCTTTTACCAAAATAGCTCCCCACTGACCCAATTTGAGGGCTAAGGAGTCTAAGGACCAGCTTTCCCTGCCTGCATTCTCCTTCAGCTCTATCTTTAAATCTTTCAATTTCCTCATGCCTTCAGTAAATGCACCATCAGGGGCCGTATTACTTGGAATGTAGGTGCAACATTCTTGCCCACTGGAGTTCAGAAACTTACAGAGCCCACCTTTCTCGGCCAGCAACCAGTCCAAAGCCTGGGCATGCTGCAAAGTCATTTTGACTGTGGCATGAAGTTGTTCACCCAAGAGGCCAAGGTTATTTACTGTGTAATTTAAGATTCTTTGCTGATTAAAATAAACATAGTTGATCCATTTCACATTCTTATTTATTGTTATCCAAGGAAGAATTGACTCTAAACCTGCTATTACCTCATCTCTTGCTTGAAATTCTATGGGAATTCCTGTTGGCAGTCCTATGGCGTTTAAATGCACTTTATGATCAAACACATCATACCTCTTTGTCCTACGTCTATTGGTAGTCTCCAACTGAAGTAATTCACTCACACCTTCATGCAAGATAGTCACTGGAACTTTCATACGTACTAGCGTACACAACCCAACCCAAAAACTTGGCAAAACATTCATTAGAACATCACCACCACACATCCAGTAGCTGTCGGCCACTGGAATGTCTTGCTCACCTATGAGATCCAGAGTGGGGATCGTCATCGATATGTTATCACAGTCCTGACTAAGAGTTACAGGGTTTTCATACCAAACAGGGGTATCAATGAGAAGTGGCGTCATATTTGCATGCGGGAACCAGGATAATACCCAAGTGACGTTACAGTTGACAGATGTATTACCTACGTCCACTCCTCCATCGTCAGCGAAACCTCCGCTTGCAAAACATTCATAATCAGCACTATAATCAATTTTGTAGTCCGTTGGAGGACCATTTTGGTCTGTTTGGATCGCAAATTCAGCACATTCCTCTAGGATGTTATATTCTGCATATTTTTCAACATATTTGTACTTATCTCGTGTACCATGGAGCAATCTGCATTGGAATCCACACAATGGCATCTTAAGAAGAGGTGGAATCTTTTTATTTATCTCTATTACCTTCCTAGTCTTACATGTGCGTCGTTGTGTACTGGCACACTCACTAGAAGTATACTTTTCCGGAACAACCTCAGGTAACATTCCGGGTGCTTGAGCGCACACTATGCAGTCATTAGGAGTCATTTCTCTTGTCGTATACAAAGCCCATTTATACCAACTATTTTGCATGGCTGCATCCCAAAGCCTATCCTCAATAGCCAAATGTCTGCTCGCTCTAGGGGAGATAGGCCCTGTGTTACCGCCGGACCTAGGTCTAATTGGCCCAAATAGTGTCTTAGGTACAGCTTTGCGATTGGTCACTTCTTGTTCATTTTGTCCTTTCTGAGTGAGATTACGAACATGGTTACTACCAGAGGTTGCCGTGGGAAAGCCAGATTTCACAGCTACACCTCCTGTGGGAGTTGTAGTACTGACAGGTGGCTTAGCGTTTACGCTTCTCAGCTTGCTAATTGGCGTTGTTTTAGATCTTGAAATCAGTGGAGTCACTAGCTGTAAAAGAGAGGAAGAGCTCCAGTCGGCCCTCACCTTTCCAACAGGGGCTGTGGTAGTCAAAACATCAGGGATCACAGTAGCAGTAGCGCTAGTAGTTAAAACATTACTTGGAACTGTGGTTATATCACCAGTTTTAACAATTGCTACGTCGAATGCAGGCAGGGATGCCGACCTATGTTGCATCCGGCCTGCTGAATTGTACTTAACTTGATCATGGTATGCTGCCTCGTCGTTGGCCAAGTCGTCTGGCGTATGCTCTTGTGATGGGTCGACGAGTTGCTCCTCGGCCATCGTCTCCATCTTCACCTCCTCCAGCACCATCATCAGACCCCCTAGTGTTATCCAAAACAGAACTGTCATCAGGCTTAGCACGCCCTTCTTTCCTCCGGCCATCATGCCGGTTTGTTACGTTAGGCACAATACTGCCCTGAGTTTTGTCTTTGACTTTCGTGCAGTGCGTCAGATGATGCCACGTCGATCCTCCTTCGACCTGGACTGCTGTTGGCGTTGCTCGAACCACTTTGTAGGGACCCTCTCGTCGCGGTTCGTGCCACTTCCTCCTGAAAACTTTGATGTACACCTGGTCTCCAGGAACTACCGGCCCGTCTGCGCCTGCGCTAGAGACGAGCTCCTTTTTCTTTTCCTGCAAATAGATGGCTTTATGGATGCTGGTTAGTTGCTTGATATAGCTTTTGAATTCAAGCTCTAGCTGTTCCAGCGAAGGCCCCTTGTGGGGTCCTCTAAGCTGAGGAGCTGGCATTGGCCTGCCTGTTAGGACCTCATGAGGTGAAAGATGCGTGCTTCTGTTAGTTTGCATGCGATAGCTCATTAAGGCAAGCGGCAATGCATCAACCCAGTTAAGGTTAGTACAAGCACAGATTTTGCAGATTTTAGACTTCAACGTCAGATTCGCTCGCTCGACCATCCCTTGGCTCTGGGGGTGATAAACTGATCCTAATCGTTGCTTTATCCTTAGTTGTTGCAACACACCTTTAAGGACTTTTTCAACAAAAGCAGGACCATTGTCCGAGCTTATTTCCGACGGGATACCAAAGCGAGGAATAACTTCTCTGACTAGAAACTTTACCACTGTTTCTGAACCTAAATCTTTAGAGGGAACAGCTTCGATCCACCGACTGAATCTGTCAATGATCACCAGCATGTACCGTTTCCCATGCACAGACTTAATCATGTCAACATAGTCAATGACCAAATGTTTGAAAGGACCTTCGGGCACTGGAATGTGTCCCGCTGGGACTGTGATGCCCTTTTTTACATTGTTCTCAGCACAAATGTCACACTGATCTATTACTTCCTCAACCATGGCTTTTAGGTATGGTGACCAGTAACCTTGTTTGTTAAGTCTTTTCAGCACCTCTGCACGACCACAATGATCAGGACCGTGGTTTTCCGAGATTAGCATCGTCAGCAAGGAGACAGGTGCAACGATCAAGCCCTCATGAGACCTCCACAAGCCGCTTGAGTCCATTGTTGCACCTCTTCTTCTCCAACACTGCTGCTCGCTTTTCTCTGCCTTTTCCTGAATCAGAATGATGTCTTCTGGTGTTATTGCAGGCTCTAATGATATTACAGGTGCCAAAATGGCTTCTTCACACCTGGAGGCAGATTTTGCCGCCTCATCTGCTGCATTGTTGCCTCTGATGACATCACAGTTACCCTTGCGGTGCGCAGGGCACTTTACAATGGCCAGTTTCGATGGAAGCATCATTGCTGAGATCAGCTCGTTGATCTGCTTTCCATGAAGGATGGGTGTACCATCCGTCTTCTTAAAACCTCTTTGTCTCCACACACTTCCAAA